CTTTTAATTTATTCAATGTAGTCCCTGAACTTTAACCTAATGTTCAATTTGGTCCCTGAACTTTTGATTTGTTCAATGTGGTCCCTGAACTTTTAATATGTGTTCAATTTAGTCCCTGAACTATATGAAAATGTTCAATATAGTCCCTGTACTTGAATTAATGGAAGGACTATATTGAACATTTTCAAATAGTTCAGGGACTAAATTGAACACATATTAAAAGTTCAGGGACCACATTGAACAAATCAAAAGTTCAGGGACCAAATTGAACATTAGGTTAAAGTTCAGGGACTACATTGAACAAATTAAAAGTTCAGGGACCAAATTGCACATTAAATCAAAGTTCAGGGACTATTTGTGTCATTTTCCTTATAAAAAATTTGGAGAGCCCATTGGAGAAATGCATTGCATTTTCAAAGTCCTTCAAAAAGACTTTTTGGCTCAAAGGGATTCACCGACACTGGGCATTTTGCCTTTGTCGGAATGATGAGCCCATGATTAGTGACATTTTTCATATTCATCTTTTACCCTTGAAATCGGCATGATTCATCTCTCTCCTCTGCTCATCATCTCTCTCTCTGAATAAGGGTACTGTGCGAATCGAGGGACAATCATTGAGGGTCAACAATCAATGGTTGCAGGTCGGTCCGACCAGATATGGAGGGTCAATGCAAGATCTGGAGAATCGAGGGTCGCCAAGACTCACCGATGGTCACCGCAACTAGTCTTAACGCCTGCCGAGGGTCGCATGATGCTCATCCTCAATTTCGAGCCCTCATTGATGGAGTCGAACGAGCTTTGGTCGAGTGTGGTCGATTTCGAGACTTGAGGCTTGTCGTCTTCGTCAAATGTGACTTGCATGAGGTCGTGCGACCTCGGCATTGCCTCGCCTAGGCTCGCTCGACCTCGACAACCAATAGCCTAGGGTCACACGACCTCGACAACGCCTAGCTTGGGGTTGTGTGACCTTTGCGACCATCGTGGCCGACCTTATAGGTTAGCTTGAGTTGGGTCGGTTGTAGTTTTTGTTTTTTCTTTTTCTACCAAAGTCCTACCAAATACTATTTACATTTCATAAAAGACCATTTAGCCTAAAAGTAAATAGTGTTTTAAATAGTGTTTATCAAGTATACAATAAAACACTATTTGTATTTATTGACAAAAAAAACACTATTTATATTTCATTAAAACCCTTTAACCTAAAGTCATTTGCATTTATGCACAGGCATTTCCGAAAAGCTCCCTCAAATGCCCCCTTCACCTAAAATTTTTGTGATATATGATAACTTATATTCTTTTTTGTATGGTTCATAGGCTGTATAAATTACTTTTATACATAAGCGAGCTCTATCTCACTATTTATTTTAATCTTCAGTAAGTTATAAAAAGAAAATAGTTGCTAATATCAATTACGACGGAATGCTGGTGAACATTTATTAAACAATAAGATGGACCTATATTTTTTTTATAATATATAACTAACAAAATCGTGTATTTATTAAAATGGTTGTGATTATTGTGGCAATCTCATAAGTCTCTCAAAACTTCTAAATCGGGTTAAAAAATTTCTCATCTTATAATAACAATTTGAACTAATTTTTCATGTACTTTGATATTCTTTACAATCCAACTTAAGAGAGAGAGAGAGAGAGAGAGAGAGAGAGAGAGAGAGAGAGAGAGAGAGAGAGAGAGAGAGAGAGAGAGAGAGAGAGAGAGAGAGAGAGAGAGAGAGAGAGAGAGAGAGTATAAAAAAAGTAACGATTCTCAATATCAGCTCTTTTTATTCATGTTGTCTGTTTCTACTCATACTTAGTTGAATATAACTTTGTGTTTTTTTGTCGAAATTAAATATAACTTTAAATTAAGTAGATTTATACAAAACTCAATGAACGTGGCGAATATACACATAAATCATAGAGCCACGCACATGTTGGCAAGCAGATATGCAAAAATCCTCTTGTTTCACAAATTAAGGAAAAATATTAACATACGCAATTTATGACAACTTTCAGCTAATTATATACACCATTCATTAAAATAAATTCTAGTGAACAAAAAAAATCAAAAGCTGGTCCCGTTTATTTCGTGGAATATCAATAACTTGAAAGGGAATTTTTTAAAAATATTATTGGTCATTTATATGATTTAGAAAAATTAATCCATGAAATATATTTTCATTATTAAAAAAAATAGAAATAGATGGTCAAAGGCAGTAAAAATACTTCTCATCAACTCATATTTACAAATGACAGTGATAATAAAAAAAATCAATATCATGAAAAACCTCGAACTAGTATATTTGCAATAAATTTATCACAAATTAATTTTTTTACCACTAAAAATTCAAAACCGGTCCATTTATGTAAATTTACCTCAAACGAATTTTTTGACCACAAAAAATCACCAAAATTAGTACATTTGTGACAAATTTATTCTCCGTCAGTTTCCGTTTAATTGAATTTATATTACGAAAAATCACAAACTGGTACACATGTAACAAACGGATAATAAAACCCTAAACTGGTACACCCGTCAACTATCACATGTCATTCAATATAGTAATTCGACGGTAAAATTTAACGAAAATTAAGGGAGGGTATATTTGTCGTAGTTGTACCGATCGTGGGGCTTTTGGTGGTAAAAAAAAACTAGTTTGAGGTAAATTTGTTATGGATATATAAATTTGAGGTAATTCGTGATTTTAATCCTAAAAAAAAGTTATTTTGAGATTATTTATTTTTTTGGCGAAATAAACGGGAGTGACATGCCTCCAAGAGGTTGGCTGTGTTGGTAAGGGTGTAGGACTTGGGGTCCCAAGTCCCAAGTTCGAGTCCCCTCTGCAGCATAGCCTTATCATACTCTTGACTTACATGGAGGCTAGTTTGTGGGGCCAGATTAGCTCTCCTTCGGTTGGTGATTGGCCGGTCGGATCCTTGTAGTTCGGCCGGTACGGGAATTCGAATTATCAAAAAAATAAAAAAAATGGGAGTGACATGGGAATTGCTTTCAATCAACTCAATTGGGAACGACCCCATTTACAGATAATTCGATAACAAAACCAACCTGGGATTCTGGGAAAATCTGGAAATTTCCCATCAGCCGTTCGACTTCCGCCGCGTCTCTCCCGGACTCCAAGAAACTTTTCGATCTTTTCAACAGCCCCAGAAGGGCGGGGCCCCCCGGCTCTTCCCATCTTTCCTACCCTTCTTTTCTTCTTTTCACACACACACAAAGCCCCTTGGCGTGTTCTCAAACGTGGACGTACCTATCAGGAGCAACAAGGACCCCCCCCCCCCCACGTCACGGTCCCGGACCACTCAGGAAGCGCCACGTGGTCCCACGCGGCGCTCGTGGGGGCCGGCGGCTCGCCAGCCCCCACGGTTTTCTCTCCTCCCCGTTCCATTCCTGGCCGCATGCACGCTAGCCCTACGCCACGTCTCTCTCTGCTCTGCAATTCTGTCTCCCTCTCCGTCGTTTCCTTTCCTCACCCATCAGAAGACGACGAAGGGAGAAAAGCAAAATATCTCTCCTCTCTCCTGCGTCTCTCTCTCTCTCTCTCTCTCTCTCTCCAGTAAAAACGCTTGCAAATTTTGAATCTCAGAGGCCGAGGGGCGGGTGACCGCCGCCCTCGACAAGAGCTTCGGGTTCTCGAAGTTTTTCGGGAGCAAATACGAGCTTTTAGGGACGAGGTTGGGAGAGGGCAATCTTCTTTTTTCTTTCTTTTTTTTTGGGTCGAAGGCGGCAGCTCCCAAGAGAAGCTGAAGAAGACGCCGGTGAAGAAGGCCAAGAAATGAGTCGGTGCTGTGTTCTTTACTAGAGTGTGTGTAGGGGACGGTAATTTTGGAGTCGAACATGTTCACTCGCAGCATGAACCCATGTTGTGTGCTTGCTGTCCATTCTGATTTTAGCGTATTCTGATTTCCGCTCGAAGAGGGTATCGTGTTGCTTTTGATTGTTTCTTGCTTTAATTGATGTTAGCTTCAGATCATTCGCAGATGACGGATTTTGGTTGTCGTGGGGTCACAAATTTGGTTTTGTTGCAGCTTCATGTTCCCTGCTCGGACATCACATTCAGCATGATTGGAAACTGCATGGTCCCTATTTGGTAAATCTGATTAGGTGAAGAACACTGGCTTCTTGAGAATGATTGCTTGAAAGAGTGAATGTGAAATGCAAGCTAAGTCTCCCTTCTGGAAATGTTTGCTTGATGAAATCTCTGAATGTTTTAAATGTTTTAAAAGCAGGAGTCTGTCTCGAATAGGTGGTATACCAATACATGGTGCTTAGCTTTTCCAAAAGTGATGTGCAAATTGCAGATTTTCTGTGGCCTGTTTATTGGTCACCGGCCCCTCGGCCTCTGCCTCACTCCCTTTCGGGCGCGCGAGGGGGGCGGCCTTAATGTGCTTCGTCGGCGACGGCGGGGGGAACGGCCGCTTGACGAACGCCGGAGCAGAAACGAGGGGAGAAGCAAAATCTGAGAACCGAAAAAGAGATTCAAAATTTGAAAGGCGTGTTTGCTGGAGAGAGAGAGAGAGAGAGAGAGACGGAGACGCTGGAGAGGAAAGATATTTGCTTTTCTCCTTCGTCGTCTTCTGATGAGGAAAGGAAAGGACAGGACAGGAAAGGATAGAGAGGAGAGAGAATTGCAGAGCGCAGAGAGATGTGGCGTAGGGCCAGCGTCCAGGCTAGGAAAGGGGATGGAAATTATCTTGTTTTTTTTTTTTTGGGAGAAAATAGTGGGCGGCTTTCTCCCGAGACGCCCCCACAAGCGCCACGTGGTCCACGTGAAGTGGGCGGCTTTCTCCCGAGACGCCCCCACGAGCGCCATGTGGGCCACGCGAATCACGTGGACCACGTGGCGCTTCCTGAGTGGCCCGGGACCACGCTGACGTGGACACGTGTTCATGCTCCCACTTGTGGAGTGCGTAACGCCAACATCCTTCCCCACATATTCCTCCGCTCCTTTGTCGGGTCTCCTTCGGGTCCCCTTCTTAATTATTCCTCCGGTTCCAAATGTGAAGGATGGATCGGAATAGGCAAGAAGGGAAGGGAGAGGAATGAGAGGGGTCGAAGGGAGGCTCTTTGAGGAGTTCTCACCTGGGTACTACGGCATCTGCACCGCTGGGGGTATGCTGAGTGCTGGTACTGCCCATCTCGCGGTCACGCCTCTTGATGTCTTGAAAGTGAACATGCAGGTCAGTTCTCGAGTTATTAACCCCGAAGAAAGAATATCGAAGGATCAAAACCCAGATGGGCATGCTCTGATTTGTTCGTTTGCGTTGGTTTCGTGGTTGCACAGTTTGGTTCTTGCTGTGTTGTACCCAAATAAGCTCGACGTGAAACTTTGCTTGATTAATTTGTACTAGTGCCGTCTCCAAATGTCAGCATTCCTGTAGCTTTGCAACGATGTTGTGCTTGTGTGTACCTTCTGATTCTGAACCAATATTGATTGCATTGCGAACCAATTGCTCGTCCTTTTCCTTTGTGCTTTATTGCTGACGCGACTCTATTCGCCTCTCTCTTTCCTATGCTCCACTGCACATGGATTGCATGATCCTCGTTTTTTGTTGTTTTCTCTTGTGCGTGCGTGTCCGCGTAGGTTACATGAAAAGGGGGGAGGGCGGACTTTCATTCTGTGTGTGATAGGGTGTAAAATCTATGGAAGGTACAATTTTCGTCCGAGTTTGTCGCTTAATGCAAAGTCAAAGGATTTCACACTGTACCAATACCGTGACAGAGTAAGGTCTAAATTCTTCTGCTGTACCAATGGGAATGGGATAGTGTCATCTCTCATATCCATGCTCTTTCCATCATGGAGAAATGAAAAGGAAAACCTCAAGTTAATTGAATCTTAGTAGTGCATTGTGAGGTCAGCCATGTGATCACCAAAGGCATTTTACCAGTATCTCTCTGGTGCCAATTGGCTCTCTTAATTTACTTACTCATACTCTTGGTGTTTTAGAAAACGAGGAGAAAGTAGCAGATAGGTGATAGAGTCGAATTGCCTGGAGTAAACAAAGAATTGCATAGCAACCCCAGATTTGGCTAAGATGACCAATCTTTCTTATATACTTGTGCCAAAAAGACATGTCAATTTTCAATAGACAGGCATGGAGGTGAACGGAAAACTCGTTTTCCTCCGAACTCTATGACTTCCCATCTGATAGCCAAAGTTAATTAATATGCTCCAGGTTAATCCGATTAAATATAACGGCATGGCGTCGGGATTATCGGTTCTCTGGAGAGAGCAAGGGCCTTCTTATCTCTGGAGAGGTTGGTCCAGCAAGTTGTTTGGATATGGCATCCAGGGCGGCTGCAAATTCGGTCTCTATGAGTACTTCAAGAAACGTTACTCTGATATGCTGGTTGACCACAACAGGAGTCTCATATTCTTTCTAAGCAGCGCTTCTGCTCAAGTGTTCGCAGACGTGGCTCTAAGTCCCTTTGAAGCTGTCAAGGTTCGTGTCCAAACGCAGCCCGGCTTTGCAAAGGGCTTAGTTGAGGGGATTCCAAAACTGTACAGGACAGAAGGTCTCTCTGGGTATGGTAACGAAACTTTGATCTTGCTTTTCTTTTTAAAATAAATCAATTGTGTTTGAAGTTTATATTTTACTGCAGCTTCTACCGTGGGATACTTCCGCTCTGGGGCCGTAACCTTCCGTGTAAGCTCATTGGCATGACGGCCACTTTCATTTTTCTTGTGTTTAGTAGATTGTAGTGGTCACATGGTCTTTTGATGTCAAAACAAACTTTCATAAGCGCCAATTGTTAGACTACGAGGACGACTAAACACTATCGCTGTGAATACTATGATTCTCATACTAGTTGCTTGTATCTATAGGCTGAAATGTTGATTAAAGTCTGATGGTCATTGGCCCTTCCATATCATTCCTTGGTAGCTCATATTCATATTGGATGTAGCGATGCCTGTTTTATGCACTCTGCCCCATCCATTTCCTTGGTTTTATCTCCATGTAGCTGCAGATAATTTCTGATTGATGCCAAAAAAAAAAAAAAAATTTCTGATTGATGCTTGTTAGTTCGCTTGATCTGTTTTTCATGTTTATGAACAGCCTTCTGACATAGAAAGGTATACTTGACATGTTAGGTCTTGGAGGAGGGCTAACTGAATCTCTCTCTCTTTGTAACATGTCAGAATAGTAGATTTAAGTTTCCGGATAAGGGTTTTCTTTATATAATCCTCATGCAAGATGTATTACTATATTAGGCATGTGATGCAATTTTTCTTGGTAATGAATTAAAGAAGTTACACTTCTGCCACTTTAGTGCTGAGTGATCTTGCGGTTCCCTAGAAACAGAAGCGTAGTTAGTGGCGCCTAATTAAGACATTAATTATGCGGTTACACCTTGAGTTTGTCAACTCCTTCTATGCCATTCCGCTTATCGGAAATGCACGGATAGGTTTGCAGTGTTATGCTGTCTGTTTTAATTTCTTCTTGGTCAAGCTCGTTCTCATTGCTTTTCCGTGGCACAGTCTCTATGGTAATGTTCTCCACATTTGAGCATTCAGTGGATCTGATGTATCGGCAAGTTCTCAAAAGGAGAGAGGAGTGCTCAAGAGCCCAACAGCTTGGCGTCACTTGTTTGGCGGGTTATGCAGCCGGTGCTGTTGGTACTGTGATTTCCAACCCCGCTGACAACATCGTTGCATCTCTCTACAACAGAAAAGCCAAAAATGTCTTACAGGTATCTGTCCTGTGAAGCTTTAGTTTGTTGCTCGTTGTTTCTCTGTACTCTGGAGTGATGAATTTTAAGATTTCCAACTTTTCTTTTTTTTGTCTTAGGCAGTGAAGGATATTGGCTTTGTCAATATGTTTAGAAGAAGCCTTCCTGTTCGTATCATGATCGTGGGACCTGTTGTTACGTTGCAGTGGTTCATGTACGACACGATTAAAGTGCTAAGCGGACTGTAAGTATACTTTGCCTTTCCATTTCGTCAAGAAGTTGCTAATGATTCATTGCTTTATTGACTTAATGCTAACCAATGAGAAGGGGAAAATTGCCAAAAAAGTCCTAAACCTTTTGCATTAGTGCCAATTTAGTTCTAAACCTTTTTTTGATGCCAATTTAGTCCTAAACCTTTTGCATTGGTACCAATTTAGTCCTAAACCTTTTTTTAGTGCCAATTAAGTCCTAAACCTTTTAAATTGGTGTCAATTCAGTCCTAAACTTTTTGTTTTTGTGCCAATTTAGTCCTTCCGGCCAATTTTGATCGGAATTTGCCGATGTGGACGCCTGCCGGCCGGTCACCGGCGCCGACGTGGACAACTTTAATAATATTTTAATATTTTTTGAATTTTTATTTTTTTCCTTTTTTCTTCTTTTTTTTTCCACTTTTTTTTTTGGTTCTCTCCCTCCTTCCTCTGGCCGGTCGCCGGTTCGGCGAATTCCGGTCAAAATTGACTGGAAGGACTAAATTGACACAAAAACAAAAGGTTTAGGACTGAATTGGCATCAATTTAAAAGGTTTAGGACTTAATTGACACCAAAAAAAGGTTTAGGACTAAATTGGCACAAATGCAAAAGGTTTAGGACTGAATTGACATAAAAAAAAAGGTTTAGGACTAAATTGGCACTGATGCAAAATGTTTAGGACTTTTTTGGCACTTTTCCCCAATGAGAAGTATTTGAATTAACTGATTCTATGATGCGCAATGTGCTCATTTTTCTGCGTCTTTAGCTCTATCTGATATTGACTTGATGCATCTAGTTAAACATCATCACTTGCAGGATCCATGCTATATGCTTTTGCTGGAAACGTCTAATTAAATACCGAAATTTTCTAGCATTAAATTGTGGGAATCTCAGTTTGATCGTGGTAAAGTGAGGTGCAATTTGTTGTTAATTTGGTCTATTTAGTTAAACAAAGCATTGACTTGATCATCCCTCTAAGGCGTGGCATTTTCACATTTTACTGAAAATCCACTGAATAACTTTGCTAGTATCTTGGGATTCATCTGAAAAAAACGAAGAACGAAAATGGAGGACGAAACATGTGATAATAGAAAGTAATTGGTAAATGAAATTCAAATTTTTATGGAAGATATTGGACGCAATAAAGATATAACCTCGGTTCAGTTGCTGGGACAACTTATACCCTTTTCCAGATGGTAGACCTTACAAGTTTTTCTCTGTTGTCGTGTAGAAGATATTGGACGCAATAAAGATATAACCTCGGTTCAGTTGCTGGGACAACTTATACCCTTTTCCAGATGGTAGACCGTATAAGTTTTTCTCTGCTGTCGTGGATTGTTCGATACGCTGATGAACACCCTCATTATAGTCAATTCCCTCGTCGCAAAAGGCTTGCTTTTTACTATATGGGGATTTCTGTGTTTAGAGTCTATATTTCTGCTTTCTTGTTGAAGACAGCATTTGATTATTTATTCTGTTCCAATTTCTCAGGCCTACCAGTGGAGGGAGTCGCAGTCGCCTAGAAGAAGAAGATTGTTAGATGTATGCCCTAAAGTTATCATGTAATGGTTACATGTTAGGGATTTAAGTTGTACTATCAATTTCATCATTTATTTAATGGCAAGGACGTATTCATTTGTGGGAAAATTTCAAATCAGTATCCAAAGTGGGATCATTTTCTCAAAAAAGGATCCAAAGTGGATATAGTGTCAAATAAGGGCATGAAGTGCCCAATCGGTTTCAAATAGGGGCTCGAAGTACCCAATGAGTCTCAAGTAAGGGTCTGGGTTCGCCGGCCGGTCAAATGCTCACCGGTCGGCAAGCATGTCATTGTTCCGGCAATCGGAATAAGAGAAATTTCATCTTTTATTTTTTAAATTATTATTTTTTCTTTTCCTCTTTTCCCTCCGTCGGCTATAGCCGGGGTTGGTGGAGGTTGTCGACCTCGGGCGAGGGCCGCCTTCGCCTGGGCTGGGCGGTTGAGGGTCGACCCTCGCCAGATCCGACGAGGGCGCCAAATCCGGCGAGAGCAACCCTCGCCCTCGCTGGATCTGGCGAGGGCAGCCCTCGCCCGACCAGCCCAGGTGAGAGCAACCCAGGGTCGGGTGAGGGTTGCCCTCGCCGGTGTCGGGTGAGGGTCGCCTCGCCTGGGCTGGGCGAGCGAGGGCGACCCTTGCCAGATCCGGCGAGAGCAACCTTCGCCCTTGCTGGATCTGGCGAGGGTCGACCCTCGGTTGCCCAGCCCAGCCCAAGTGAAGGCAGCCCTCGCTCAACGTCGGCGAGGACGAGGGTTGCTCTTGCCGGATCTAGCGAGGGTGGCCCTCACCCGCCCAGCCCAAGCGAGGGCAACCCAGGGCGTCGGGCGAGGGTTGCCCTAGCTTGGGTTGGGCGGGCGAGGGCCACCCTCGCCAGATTTGGCGAGAGCAACCCTCGCCCGACGCCGGCAAGGGTAGCCTCTGCCTGACGCCGGCAATCTCCACCGGCTATGGCCGGTGGAGGGAAAAGAGGAAGAAAAAAGAAGAATAAAAGGAAAAGGAAAAGAAAAAAAACAAAAAAAGGAAAAAAAGAAACAAAAACAATTTAAAAAGTAAAAGACGAAATTGCCCTTATTCCGATCGCCGGAACAGTGGCGTGCTTGCTAGCCGGTGAGCATTTGACTGGCCGGCGAACTCAGGCCCCTACTTGAGACTCATTGGGCACTTCAGGCTCTTATTTGAGACTGATTAGGCACTTCAGGCCTTTATTTGACACTATGTCCACTTTGGATCCTTTTTTGATAAAATGACCCAACTTTGGGTACTGATTTGAAATTTTCCATTCATTTGTCCAATTATTTAAATATATGAATAATTCCATAAGATCAGTTGTGATTGGACCTATTCTTGAGATGTTAAGAATATGTGTGACAGGTTCACAGTTAAATTGAATCTTTAAATTGTTCCCGGTAGATGGATCATTAAGTGGATATTAATGATTCTGTTGAAACCGGTGTGTTCCTTCACTATTAAGTATTGGACACTTAAGGGAATAATGAGTCACGAGTCATTGGGTACTGTGATGCCTGAATTAAAATACAGGTGCTTATACCAGACAAGTTCATTGAACGTGACATGCATAGAACGATTAGCAACATGGAAGCTTTTAGCATTGTCAATGTCTAATTGTTCATGCTCTGGTCTTGACGTGTGCGCAAAATGGAATCTGTCTCCTTGTTATATGCAAAGTACAATAATGATGTTCTACGCAATCTAATCTTAACCCTACATTGAAATCCTCGGCCGAGGTTGTAACCGTGAATAAACTATTCATGTCTCATATAAAATGCATGTCAATTAGGTTTGTGCATATGATCGAATTGGTGGCTCGACAAATATTCCATGGTCTTTGTTCGATCGGGATATAATAAGGCAGAGGGATTGAATTACACTGTAACCAAAGCTGACAGATTCATATGTTCTTAAAGCATTCACATCGTCTGGGTAGCCATGACATATTGCTAGATGTCAATCATGACTTGTAGGACTTAGAGGTTGATCGGGACAATCAATTCTCTTGTGAGTACTAATGTGTTAGTGCAAGTTTTACTACTAGCTCAGTGATGACCTAGGGATATCACACATCATAACAAATTTAGGATGACGTTGTACGGAAGAGACAATATTACAAATATGTTTGCCATCGAATTGAGTAGGAATGAAATGAAATTAAATGTGATTTAATTTAATTTAAGTTTTGTCATGAGCGTGTGTGCATACGATGCTCACGAAATACACATATGTTGGTCGTCCAGTTTTATGTATTAAATTAATTAAAAGTGCATCACATGATTAGCAACTGTTGCCCATCGTGTGAGGTTAATTTTAAAAAAAAATGGCTCATGCACACGGTCAGCAACCGTTGCTGACCGTGTGCGTGACACACGTTCAGCAACCGTTGCTGACCGTGTGCGTGACACACAATCAGCAACCGTTGCTGACCGTGTGCGTGACACACGATCAGCAACTGTGCGTGCACATTGCACATGATCGGCAATGGTTGTTGATCGTGCATGCGATCAGCAACTGTTGCTGATCGGACATATAAAAAGCGCGATCGGCAACAGTTGCATGATGATGAAAATGAGCGTATGCAATATTATGTGTTCTTGAGAGTTAAAAATTACGTTTTCTCTCTTCCGGCGCCGTGACTTAAAAATCGAGAGTGCGGAGAATTGTCGCCACGAGATTGCTAGCACAATTATAGTGGTGATTACCCGCAAGTTCTTTCTTCCGTTCGTTGTGCGATTGATGGTGTGTTTGAACTAGAGGTCCGACGATTGTGGGGCTTGAATTGAATAACATCTGAACCGAAATCGTTTTGGACACGCTACAAGAGGTAATCCGTTTAACCCCTTATGATCTTCCGATCTTTGATTGAAACGCACGAACAACACCTTTGAAGATACATGTATGTTTATATCTTTCCGCTGCGTTTATATTTAATTTAACTATGCATGTTCCGTAGATCCGTAGAAAACCAACAGAAGCTAATTTATCAAGTTGAGTTCTAACAGCCTCCTGAATCAACCAGTTTCTTTCCCAAACTAGAGGAAGCTCATCTACCTCTGCCAAACTTCCAGATTCACCGCAGTTCATTAAAGACGAAGTCTAGCCTTCACTGTACAGCTTTCTTCTCCCCGTCTCAGATCAATCCACAATTACCCACTTATTCCGAAAATCTTAAAGGCTCAAATGGTTTTGCTATACCGATTGTCGGAGCTTTATTCACGTAGTTGTAACGGCTGCTTGCTCCGCTCAATGGTCATGTGGACACATTTCTAATGTTGTATGAACAAGCGAAGTCTGAGCACATATAGAGAGGCTAGAAAACAGGTTTTTGAACACCCTTGTTTTCTTGCCACACAAGTTATCTCCCCTTCTCAAGTTGCCATTTTTTTTCTGCACTTACTCAATTTGCAGACTTTATCCTCACATTAGTTACTTATGGGATTGTTCCTCGCTCATTTGAGTAGCCAATTTTTGTTTTTGGGGTAAGAAGGGAAGAACTACATTACAAGATCATCTTCCCCTTTTTGGTATTGTACTTGTATGGATTGTGATGTTTATTTTCCCTTCCTCCCCTGTATGTTGTGTTATGAATATGTAATGACTATATTGTGTGGCGTTATTTATCATGTAAGCTTACTATTCGATTGAAGGATAGAGAGGCTAGTTCTCCAAAAAAAGCTAGAATTGCGAATTACAAGTTAATTTAAATAGAGAATTGGTGGCAAAAAAAAAGGGTTGCGTTGGTTTCGGGCCAGTTCCAAGGTAAGGTTGCTTTGGCACTTCATTTCGGGTTTTCAGGAACCAGCCTGCCGGCTTGGTTCTTGATTTCAAGCGACCACCTAGATCATGTTCACCCCTATTATATATATGGTCTCATCACAGTTTAATCTTTAAAAGAAATACAATTTGCTGATCCTCCTAAGAAATGGAAAAAAAATTACTGCCTTTTCTTAATTTGAGGTCCAATGGGGGCTTCTTGGTCTTGCAAATACTTGTAGCTTCATAATTCTATCAACCCGTTGATTGCACACCAGATAAGTTTACAGAGAACTAAACAACCTATCAAAATCGTTATAATAATATCAAAAGATTTTCAAAGTTTTGCACCTTTATATAGCATTAATTGCACACGAAGATCCAATTTTGTAGAGAAAGAGAGGGGTTTTCTGAGATGTAAACATAAGGTCCCGACCCGCAAGTCAAAATGTCAATGAAGGCCTGTCCAAAGTTATAGATAATCTGGACCTATCCAACTCTTTACCTACGTTGTTTGGTGCGAGTGTTTTTTTATACGATTTGCATTCCCTCATTTGATTAATGACGAAATGTAATAAAATTATAAAGTGAAAATACCACATTTTATGACATTTTTATACTTAGGATAAAGCGTCATAAGTGTGTAGGTAGATAAATATAATCTTGTACTCAATCGTTCCGAGGGGAAGCGGGTTAGGTTTGGGTCAATTGCTGAAAATCCTATATGGATTGAGACAGGTATGGGGTTGATCTGATATGTATAAACGACCTAAATGTCGCGTTTTCCTTTGTACTCCTTGGGTAATTTTAGTAAATATACATAACTATTCTAACCCTAGTAGGGTTTGTGATAGTTTTGAAATTTACTTGATATGTAATTTCGAACCCTCAACTCAATAAATCATTTGCAAGGCTACCCTATTAAAAAATTTAGGTTTACTTATATATAATTTTAGTTATAATCAGTAAGGGCCACCATTTCAAGTATGGGTTCTCATTTTAGAATTGTTAAAATTTTCTATTTTAATGATCACTTATCTTAAATTTATTCTCAATCTTCTATTTTAGGATTGCAAGGTTTGAATAATTTGACTGCTTTAATAAAAATGCTATTACATATTGCGAGTATCGGACTACTTTGATGCGTGGATTTGAGATCCTATATTAAAATCACTGTCGCGACTTACTCGTCCCGATCAGGGGATAAAAAATTGATTGGTTAGGTCAAGAGGTATTTGTCCAACATTGATTGATTCGTTTGAAGGACAATCCAAATGGTTCATTAATCCAAGGACCGAGGCACTTCCAAGCCTCATACCTCATGCGACGGGAATTATCTAAATTAAGCATTCAATTGGAGTTGCCACTATCCATAATCAAGAGTTGGCTAGAAATCCTAATCGAGACGCGGGAGTGTCGTCTCGATACGTGCAAAAATCAGAAATTTTGAGGATTGGGGACTTGATTACACTAGCGATCTAACTAGTATCCTTTCGGTACCTAAACTTGATCGCTCGCTAACTAACGCACCAGGGCAGCCTATCGAGAAGCCCAAACCTCGTCCTAACCATAATAAAAATGGAAAATAACAACCAATATATTAAGAGTGCGCAACCAAATAATCATAAAGAAAATAAACAACCAGCGACCTAACATCGTCTCTAAAAAAGAAAAGGCAATCAAAAGCCCTAAAGTAAAGCCCTAACGACTTGTTCGAATTCTTGGGAAATTTTTTTAAAGGTTTTCTCAATTTTTTCTAAGCTTTTAAAACTAAGTTTAGAAAGAGATAAACACTAATATCTAGTGAAATTAAGCCAAAAAATGATTTCTGAGCATAATTGCTAATTTCCTGGATTTTTTGGAATTTTTCGATATTATTATTTATTATTTATATATATTTTAAGTTTTCTGAAATTTTTTTAATGTTTTTTAATGTTTTTCAGACTTTTTAATATTTTTTGGTTTTTTTAAACATTTTCGAATTTTTTTGGAATTTTTTTGGAATTTTTTTATATTATAATTATTTTATTAATAAAATAATAATTCCGAACTGGATCCCCTCACCCGATCTGCCCGGCTAGCTGACCCGACTATTTGACCCGCCTGGGGCTCCCCTTTAAATATCTCTTTTCCAATTTTTTAATTCCCCTTTTTCTATTCTATCTCTGTTTTTCTTCCCCCCATGAGCTCACCGAGAGCTCTTCACCAAGACCTTCATCCTCCATTGCCGGAGCAATCTTTCTCCAACCACCGGCGCTCACCGGCCAACGCCGGCAATCATCACCACGAACTCACCTTCGCCATTGTCCGGCTACTCCGACCTGCTATCTTACTCGTCGGCAGGCCGTTCCCGACGACCACTTCCCTCAGCCAAATCACTATTCTACGCATGCAAGGCAATCAAGCGTGAAAACTAATGTAAATTAACCTGGCTACAAATCCTGTTGAAACATCCGCGATCGAGTGACATGCCTCCGGTTGCTTCTCGCCGATAGCCGCCATGAGAAGACCAGTTGATGCAGAGAATGTGGCAAATCAAAGAAAACAGCGGCAACAGGACAAAAGAAAGGATTCAGATTTGGTAATAAGAAGACGTGAAACGGAATCAGGTTTATATGCTAAAAAAACAACCGAAACAAGCGATCCGGATTCACACGCTTCAGAATCTGATGATAGCATCGACAGTTTTTTCAGTTGCACCTTTGAGGTATTTTGTCAAACGCCATATGTGCAACAAAGAAGAATGGGACTTTTGGCTGAGAAATCCGAACCGCAATCTCACTTAAAATTAGTATTAATATCGCAAGCCTTTGCACATCATTCAGTTCAGCCTCAACCTCAAACGAGTTACTCGCAAATTACACAAAAGAGATTCGGTCACCCGTCGAGAAAGAGGAAAAATGATGTTACCTGGTTTATCAATAATATCTTCTAGGCCGTCGTGGATACTCGATTTCGAGATTGAAACTCTCACGACCGTCCACGAATGGGACTCGCAACTAGCGACGGAAGTTTCTAGACGGGATCTAGCGCTTCCCAGTTCTCGTCGCCGGGAAAGCCGAAGGAAAACAGAGCGAGAAGCAAGCGGCTCAAGAGCACCGAGGAGCCGCGGCCATGAACACTTTCAGACGAACTTCGCACGGAATTCGCCTCCCTCAAACTCCACCGTTGCGGAATCGAGCACGATGAGAAAGAGCGCGTTCTCTCAGAAAATCCGCTCCCTCTCTCTGTCTCTCTCTCGGAATCTCTACCAATCCGTGTGAATGAATATCGGTGGTCCAGAGAGAGAGAGAGCCTCCTCTGCAACTCTCCATCCCTCTATCTCGCAATCCCCCTCAAGACAACACTCCCTATCCCCTCCTTCCTTTTGCTCATTCAATATGTCTTCTTCAACCTACTGAGAACGCCCCACCTCCATCGGAAATGCCACAGATCGATCGATCGATCGAGAGAGAGGTCGCGAGGGAGCCGGCCAGAGATCGTCGGACGGACGGCAACCTTGAGAGTGGCTGGTCGGGCGATCTATGAGAGGGACTGCGGGAAGTCCCCGAGAAGGAGAAACCACCCCCCCAAGAGGCCAAGAAAATCCCTTCCCCCAAAAGGACTGTCCCTCTCTTTTATTCCTTTTCTCTCCCGTTCCACTCTCGGTTCCTCCCTTGTTTTCTCTCTCGGTCTCTCCTTTTCTCTTTAAGACCACAGATGTACATACCTGACATTAGGGGTGTCAAAAGAACCCGTCCAAACACGACCCGACCCGACCCGACCCGACCCGAACAAGAAATTTTCGTAGTGGACTAGGTTGTGTCTTAATTTGTTTAGGTAATAATAAAAATATTTAGGTATTATTTTAAATTATTAGGCTTGGATACCTAAACCCAACCCAAACAAAAAAACCCAAACAAGAAACCTTACATCTCTCTTCCACATCTCTCTCCCTCTCTTGCCTCTTCTGCGATCTCTTTTGCAATCTCTCTTCCACTTCTCTCTCCGCCACGATGGAGCCGCCGCCGCCGCAACCCTCCGCCTCCTCGAAGCTCCGCCTCATGTGCAGCTACAGCGTAGGCGTGGCCCCACGCCCCCACTCCAAGTCCCTCTTCTACCACGGCGGCGAGACCCGCATCGTCACCGTCGACCACGCCTCTGCGGCCGCCTCCCCCCTCTTCCCCACCCTCGCCGTCGCGCCCCGCTTCGCCCTCAAGTACCAGCTCCCCGACTCCGACCTCAACGCCCTCATCTCCCACTGCATCGACGACGACCTCGCCGTCATGATGGACGAGCTTGACCGCCTCTCCTCGTCGTCGGAAGTGATGCGGCGCCTCCTGCCTTCATGATCTTAGATTCGATTTCTTCGATCGATCCGAAGCCGGCGGACGCCGGAGGGAGCACTGGGAGCACGAGAGCATGGCGACGATGTGGCAAAGATTTGGGGACGAACCACTACTGCTAATTTATTGTTTGAAACACGGAACCCGACCCGAACTGACTCGACCCGACCCGTCTCGATCACTTGACAATATTCTGTTCGGGTCTTGTTTCGGGTCGGGTCAAGTTGACATGTCAGGTGTTTCGAGTCGGATCGGGTATCATGAAAACCCGATCCGAACCGGCCCACTGACACCCCTACCCGACATCTCCCCCTTCGATGCCGCGCGACGCTCCTTCTGCTGCGGCGCGCTCCTGCCCTTTTCGTCGTACCTGCGCCGCCCCCTCCGCTTCTCGCTGCAGAGAAACGGTGGAGGGGAAGATGAACAGCGCGGGCCGGGCCAAAGGGGGGAAACGGGCTGGGCCGGCCCACGCGAGAAAGGAAATCAAACCGGGCCGGTCTGATCTAGTCCACTCAAATCGGGTCGGACCGACCCGGATTTTCTTCTTTTTAAACAAGAAAAATATGCCCGATAGATCCTGTTAATGCAAGTGTACCTAATGTCTATATGTTATGTAATTTAATGAAAATATTTTTGTTTAGGGTAAAAAATTAACCTAGTTTTATATGTGATTAACCTAAAATAGATAGGTAAAAATTAGGTGTCAACAACCACATGACAGGTTAGGGACAAGTTTGGGACGACATTCGCATCCCAATCCCACCTCCTCATGAGGGCACAATGTTTGAAAGTTTCTATAGGACATAGCTTCGGACAATTACTTCCGGACGCGTGGTTAGGTGTTTGGAGTCGGAGAAACTCTTCCCTAGACCAAATATCCATCGGATCGGGTCGATCTCCGCATTTGATTTTGTGGGTCCCACGTGCGAGGTCGACCGTCATCCATGGACTTGATGCAGTAGATCCTGGTCTACGTAAGAAATGGTCCGACCAAGTAGAGGCTGCTTCGATTTTTCTTCATTTCGCAACAAAAAAGAAGAAGAAGAAGAAGAATGACGATGGAGAGAACAATGGACGAGAGAGAAGAAACTCGTAGAGCCGCATGATACGAGGGAGAACAATGTCCTTTGCTTTTTTCCCTTGACCAGCGGTCAACAAAATGACCACGGATGGAACACGACAGGCACCCAAAAATAACGGAGAAACTGTCTCCAACAAAACAGAGTTTCGTCATCGTCGTCGTCCTCACCATCTCCTTTTCCTCTTCTTTCGTGGCAACGTGATCTCCATCTTTGTCTCGGACACAAAGTTTCGTCAACCCTTTTCGTCGCCTTCAATTCCTACGCACTTCTGTACCAGGTCCCTCCCTCTCTCTCTCTCTCTCCCCGCTGCATGTTGATGTACGCACGTCTCTACGTGTGATGCTTTATGCAACATTCGTCTTTCCCAGATTTTGCAGAGGCAGGAACCATCTGTGTATAGATATATGAAGCTCTGTTTGATCTATCTTTACCCTGTTCTTGTTTGTCCTCGTAAAATTTCCAGCTCTAAACAAATGTAGCCAAAAGCTTTGATTTGTCATGGAAATCTTCGAATCTTGCAAGATATTGCCTGTTAATACGTGGCATGCTATTCAAGTTTGAGGCATCTAATCTGGGTTTAGCTCAAAATTTTGTCTTTGTTTCTTGTTTTTTCCGTAACCCCTCTGCAGCTGTGTGATTGATGAGACCTATTTGGATGAGGTAAAAGCTGCGAAGGGATCGTGATAGGTTTTTGCTTTTATGGGCAACGCATGCCAAGGATCTCTCCATGAGAAATACTTTCAGGGCTACGATCAGCCCCTAGAGAATTCCACCGATCCCGGGAGGAACCCGCCATCTGATCGGTCCAATTCTTGTCACTCGCTGTCTTGCTTGACCTCTCAGCAGCTCGTGGCGCCAGAGTTCGACGAGAAGAAAGATAGCAGAAGTAACGATAATTTACCGCTCGTTAGTCCTAGTAAGAAAGATATCGTCATGAGGAGGAGCGCTGATAACCAGGCTTATTATGTATTAGGCCATAAAACCGCTAACATCCGGGACCTCTACACGCTAGGTCGAAAGTTGGGGCAGGGTCAATTCGGGACTACTTACTTATGTACTGAGATCGCCACGGGTATTGACTATGCGTGCAAGTCAATCACAAAGCGGAAGTTGATCGCTAGGGAGGATGTGGAGGATGTTAGGAGGGAGATCCAGATAATGCACCATTTGGCTGGTCAAAAGAATATCGTCATGATTAAGGGTGCGTACGAGGATCCATTGTACGTCCACATCGTTATGGAGCTCTGCTCTGGCGGTGAGCTGTTTGACCGGATTATCCAGAGGGGGCATTATAGTGAGAGGAAGGCCGCTGAGCTAACGAAAATCATTGTCGGCGTCGTTGAGGCTTGTCATTCACTCGGAGTAATGCATAGGGACCTGAAGCCTGAAAATTTTCTGCTGCTCAACAAGGACGACGATTTCTCTCTCAAAGCCATCGACTTTGGACTCTCCATTTTCTTCAAACCAGGTATAGATAGGACCTTGTTTGGCCCAGGTTTTCTATTACACATTAACTCAAGTCAGGCACATTAAACAACAAGATGCTATCTCTCTCCAATTTCACCTCCAGCATCGAAGCAATCATAATTTTGCACATTTACTCGAGCATTTGAGCCGTTCCTTTCTGTGGCTGTTTGCATCTTGTTGGCATTGACTGGAGTCGAATCAGTGAAATTTGTCATCCAAATATAGCAGATGACTTGCAAGAGAACCACTCGTTCAATATGAAGCTTTGTGATTATTCTTGCACAAGTTAGAAGCACAAATGCACCGACGAAAGTAGAGTCCATCCCCATCAAATCTGGCCAAGTAAAATTATTTAATAGAACATGGCATTTCATGCAATTGACAAGTGTTACTGTGTTTGTTTACCCTTTTCATGCGGTATCAGAAAAACTTCACTCATGCTCTCTACTTCAGGGCAAATATTCACTGATGTGGTTGGAAGTCCATATTATGTTGCCCCTGAGGTACTTCTAAAGCATTATGGGCCAGCAGCAGATGTTTGGACAGCGGGTGTAATATTGTACATCCTGTTGAGCGGTGTGCCTCCATTTTGGGCAGGTAATCCTTGTTTGTGACAAAAAATCTTGTAGTTCTTCATTATGCCAGAAGCTAATAAGTAGATACATTCTCTATCGTAGAAACACAGCAGGGAATCTTCGATGCTGTGCTGAAGGGACACATCGACTTCGACTCAGATCCATGGCCCCTAATATCTGACAGTGCAAAGGACCTGATCAGGAAGATGCTATGCTGTCGACCATCAAATCGCTTGACAGCTCATGAAGTATTATGTATGCTCAGTTCCTTTAGCTGGTTCTCAATCATCTAAACATACTCTTATGGAATGCATTGTCTCAAGGAGCCAAACATTGTTTCTCAACATCACTCGTACTGTTTACTTAAAAAAATGCTCTTAGCACCCGTATGAATTCGTCAGTGCTAAAATGGTGCTCAGGCACTATAAACACAGGTTTTCTTGCTTCATCTGGGATAAAAAAAATTGACGCTTCCCAATCTAATGGAACTGAATATCTATGTTTCACAGTGCAATTTGCCTACCTTTTCACTGTCAGTTGCATTATTTTCAACTTAGTGGGGCCAATAAAATTACCATTTCTTCCTTCCTCTCTTTTCTTCTTCTTTATCATGAAGGAATTATAAATTTTTAACTTTTAATTGTAACGACTGAGAAGGGTCTTTCTGTTGTTTGAGGCTATATTTTGTTTAGGAGTCTGAAGAAAATGATTTTCAGGCCATCCATGGATATGCGAGAATGGAGTTGCCCCTGATAGAGCACTAGATCCAGCAGTTCTATCTCGGCTCAAACATTTCTCTGCAATGAATAAGTTAAAGAAGATGGCTCTACGGGTAAATATGTGACACCTTTCTATTAATTTCTCTCGCTTTGATTGACATACGGCGCACTTTATTGGGGAGCTGTTTCTTTATCATGAGTGCTAGATTGTGTTGCGTTCTTCACATTTCTTGTATGAACTTGTGCTTTATGGCGGATTTCAAATCGTTATTCTTGTTGGAATTACATAAATTTCAAATTCAAAGTGCAAGTCCCCTTTTCATCCAAAAGTTTGCAAGTCCCCTTTTCATCTTGTTATCTATTTTAAGATTCCTGCAAATTCGGACACTCTGATTTAACTGTACAAAACTTACATGTTATTTGATCTGCACCAAGTCCTCTGTGGATTATGAAAATGGGGTTTAATTGTGACAAACTCTATTGCTCGTGCTGGTCTCACCAGGTAATTGCTGAAAGTCTCTCCGAAGAGGAGATTGCTGGTTTGAAAGAAATGTTTAAAGCGATGGATACTGATAACAGTGGAGCAATCACCTTCGATGAACTTAAAGCTGGCTTGCGAAGATATGGTTCCACGATGAAGGACACGGAGATACGTGATCTCATGGATGCTGTAAGTATATTGCTCTTAGGTTCTTTTGTTTTTACCTAAGACTGAGTCTTTAAATTGTCATCCTCAGTCAACCTTTTCCAAGCAGTCCTTAAAGTATATCATGTTTAGTTTCTTTACACTATCATGTCGAACATCGACTCAACCAACCTGATAATTAGTCTATCTGATGCATATATTCGGCCATCTTAGAGTGATGTCTAATTTCATTCTTCAGGCTGATGTGGACAACAGCGGAACAATAGACTATGGCGAATTCATAGCTGCAACGATTCACCTTAACAAATTTGAACGCGAAGAGCACCTAATTGCAGCCTTTCAGTACTTTGACAAGGATGGAAGTGGTTATATTACGGTCGATGAGCTCCAGCAAGCTTGCGCCGAGCATAATATGACTGATGTTTTCATTGAAGATATCATCAGAGAAGTTGATCAAGATAATGTAAGTCCATGAAAATATGACCAATATCGAGCTTTCTTTTTTAGTAGTGAAATGGATCTAGTATTTGTTGTTGGAATGTTAGTTGTCTGATAGCCATACAAGAATGCCCCTTGAGCACGAGCAAAGATAGCTGTCATAGAGACGATAAGTATACTAAATTTTTACCCTATTTGCTATATGATGCATCTACTCATAAAGATGAGTTTGAGCTTGTGTTTCCTATAGATAAAATGTCGTTTTGTTTGGAAAGATTATGATGTGCTGGTTGATGAGGTTCCTCCTTACCATGTGTGGCATATAACACTTACCTATTTCATCGGGATATCTCAAGACATAAGATATAATATACTACAAGCAACACCTGTGCCCACACATTTGTTTGTGCACTGGCATATCTGTATAAGGATGTTTGTGGCCGGACTTTTGAAATGTCATTCAAACTTGCCCTCTCACTATGATCCTCAAAAGTTTCTGTTTCATCTGCTATTAAGGATGGAAGAATCGATTATGGTGAATTCGTTGCCATGATGCAAAAGGGGAATGCTGGAATCGGGAGACGGACAATGACAAACAGTTTAAACATTAGCATGAGAGGTCCGCAGGTTGCTCTGTAGCTTCCAGTTGAGAATGTCCCGCAGAGGTATAAGCCTAGAAGGTTCATGTCGGCCTTTCGACTTAACAGCATTTATTCTGACAATGTATGACTGATCAAAACTTCTTCAATAGTTTCTGACTGGATGGATAGCAGAATTGGGAAGAGAGATCATGATGATTGCAGAATGGATTTACTCCCTCTCGGTGTGAAATCCCGTCAGGTAGATGGAAGTTCTAGTTCGTTTTGTATGGAGCATTTCCCTGTTATTATCTTGCGCCCTGTATGATTGAAGATGGCAATGTACCATTGTACATGTCTCTCAGTTATTTGAGCTGCTAAATTTTAGGAAAACTCTATGTGGAGCCTTGTACTGTTCAGAAGGAAAAGTAACTAGAGTCATCTGGCTTTCTTCGATTCATGGATGTAATAAAGTTCTGAACCCTTTTTGTATCTGATCGAGGGCGGTTTACGGAAACGTTGCACTTACAATATCAAAACAAGAAAAAAGAAAGCTTGGCTTTTGGGCATACGTTTAGGACCCCTAGAATTCGTCAAATGGGAAGTTGCAGTCAGCCATTGAAGATGACTGGAACTACAAAAGATAATAATGTTTTCTGTCAACTCCTGCCTTCAAGAATCATGAGTTGTTCTAGAGTTTCACCTGGTTCGCACGAAAAATGTCTAGCTTCCTCACGCCGAATACGCCACATGGTTCGCATATTTCACTTCTCTGGCCAATCTTTATGACTAACGAGACGCAATTTGTGCTTGTTTCGATCTGAAAACTCAAGACTCATTTAGCATGAGCAGATCCAGCCGAGTGAAAACTAAAGCCAGTGAAGTAGATTCTTGTGCAAGTAACTCATCTCCTTTTCCTACACCTGTAGCTTCTTCACTATGCACAGAGGTTTAGTTCTCCAGCATTCACAGCCGGGCAAAAGCAGGTTCCATAAGTTCATCTTCGGAGCTCAACCGCCATTCCTTTTGTATTTCCCAGCGTATGGAGCTTCGCGCCGTGTCCATATCTCCACTAAAATGTGAACAACAGCTCATGCCGAAACAGTCGGAAGTCAATCGATAATCGGAAGAAGCCACACCGTGGCTCCAGTCTCGAGCTACTTTATGAATGGAGAAACGGGCAGACTTCCGGTCAGACCCCACCTGCCGAGGGCCGACAGTGTTATGCACAAGATTAACGCAACGCATACCCGAGTTAGGCCCGAGAAGATCACATCTTTTTCGCTGTTTCAGATGTATACAGTTTGAAGGGTGGTAGTATTTCAATTTCAAACTTCTAGGCCTGTTGATTCTTGCTGCAATGCAAGTCATTAAAATCAATGTAAAGGGCAAAGTGACAGAGAGATCCAAAGATGCAAGCAGTGCACAATACATTGGGATTTACCGGAAAAGTCTGACGTTCCGTTTGGGCAAAACCGGATCGATTTGCCGTGATGGTATAATTCTGTAATGTTGTTAACAAATTGGAAGTGTTTTTTATGAGTAAAATTGTATAAATGTCAACCTGTTTGATTGGTACTTCCTGGGTAATTCACTAACCATGTGAAACGGCTTACCAAGACCTTCAACAGGCCGAGGAGCCCGTCAGCCCGTATCTTCTAAGGCCCGACCCGACCTGACCCGACCCCGAGCTTTGGTTCTTTACTCTGGCTTCTTCTCTATCTCCCGCTCTCATTCTCTCTCTCCTCCCCTCTCTCTCTCCCTCTCTCTCTTCTGTGACTTCACTTCGATTAAACCCTGGCGTCGGCTATGGCGGCACCTAGCACGAAGTAGCGCCGTTCGACGTCTCTCCGCAACGAATTACTGACTCAAGGCTCTGGTAAGCGTCGACCCATGAAAAAAATGTCCGAACTCTGATGGCACTGATGATTCGCAGCAGAAAGTCAATCCCTCTCAAGGTATCCCGCCTGATTAAGGGTCCCGGCTTGTTGTCTTCGCCTCGCGCCAGTTCACAAACACCCGGTCCGTTCACATGGCGGGTCGGTGAGTTCTCCAGAAATTACTGTTTCTTGAGTTCTTTCGTGGGGCGTGGAGTTAAAGTCCCCAGTTTCGGGGAATACCCTGGTTGTCATTCTTTTAGGAGCTACTGTTCTGGGATCAATAGTGGTGGTGATGGTGCTAAGTCGAGCGAGTGGACTGAGGAAATAGAGTATTTAGATGAATCGGGTAGTGTCATATACTCCGGTAAGGGGGTCCGGTCGGTGGAGCCGGGGTTGGACAATCATGTGCTTATAGGCAGCCTCAAGAAGCCGTTGGTGAACGCGTCGGCGGTCGCAAAGATCGTCGAGGTTGTGAAGAGGTGGAAATGGGGGCCCGATTTGGAGACCCAGTTGGACAAGCTCCAGTTTGTGCCGAGCACGACTCACGTCGTTCAGGCGCTGAAGGTTGTTAAAGAGAGCGACGCGTCGTTGAGTTTGTTCCGATGGGCGAAGAGACAGCCGTGGTATGTCCACGACGATGAGTGCTACCTTGTTTTGTTTGACGGGTTGAATCAAAATAGGGACTTTGATGGGATTCAATCCTTGTTTGAGGAGATGATCTCCGGTACAACTGGGGCTCCTTCTTTTACAGCTTATAACAAGGTGATTCAGTATTTGGCCAAAGCGGAGAAATTAGAGGTTTGCTTTTGTTGTTTCAAGAAAGTTCAGGATGCGGGTTGGCAAATTGATGCTGAAACTTATAATTGCGTTATGAGCTTGTTTTTGAACAAGGGCTTGCCTTACAAGGCATTCGAGATATATGAGAGTATGGAAGGGGCAACAAGTGTGCTGAATGGATCCACGTATGAGTTGATGATACCTAGCTTAGCAAAATCAGGTCGACTGGACGCAGCCTTTAAGCTGTTTCAAGAGATGAAAGTTAGGAACTTTAAACCAAGCTATAATGTTTTTGCTTCACTTGTTGATTCGATGGGGAAAGCTGGGCGGCTGGATACCTCTATGAAAATTTACATGGAATTGCAGGGCTTTGGTCTGAGGCCATCTGCAACTATGTATGTCTCTCTGATTGAGTCATTTGCGAAAGCTGGCAAGTTGGATTCAGCGATTAGGCTGTGGGATGAGATGAAGGCAGCTGGATATAGGCCCAATTATGGCTTATACACGATGATTGTTGAGTCCCATGCAAAATCAGGGAAACTTGACATTGCAATGTCTGCCTTTGCAGATATGGAGAAGGCTGGGTTTTTGCCCACCCCATCTACATACTCTTGCCTCTTGGAGATGCACGCTGCATCTGGACAGGTAGATGCTGCCATGAAGCTGTACAATTCGATGATAAATGCTGGTCTGAGGCCTGGCTTAAGCACTTACACTGCCCTTTTACTTCTCCTGGCTAATAAGAAGCTTGTAGATGTGGCTGCTAAAATACTTCTCGAGATGAAAGCCATGGGGTTTTCTGTTGATGTGAGCGCTAGTGATGTCTTGATGGTTTATATCAAAGAGGGTTCTGTTGATCTTGCTTTAAGGTGGCTACAGTTCATGGGTTCATCTGGAATTAGGACAAATAATTTTATAATTAGACAGTTGTTTGAATCTTGCATGAAGAACGGCTTGTATGAGTCGGCAAAGCCTCTTCTTGAAACCTATGTGAATTCTGCTGCAAAGGTGGATCTCATACTTTACACTTCGATTCTGGCCCATCTTGTGAGATGCCAAGAAGAGCAGAATGAGAGGCATTTGATGTCGATTCTTAGTGCCACGAAGCACAAAGCACATTCGTTCATGTGTGGGCTCTTCACAGGCCCTGAACAGAGGGAACAACCTGTTTTGTCATTTGTGCGGGAGTTCTTCCAGGGTATTGATTATGAACTTGAAGAAAGTGCAGCTAGATACTTTGTTAATGTTCTTCTTAATTACCTTGTCCTTATGGGGCAAATAAATCGAGCACGGTGCATTTGGAAAGTCGCATACGAGAATAAGCTTTTCCCTAAAGCAATTGTTTTTGATCAGCATATCGCTTGGTCACTTGATGTGAGAAACTTGTCTGTGGGAGCTGCTCTAATAGCAGTTTTGCACACGCTGCATAGGTTTAGGAAGAGAATGTTGTATTACGGTGTTGTTCCAAGAAGAATAAAGTTGGTCACGGGGCCCACTTTGAAGATTGTAGTTGCGCAGATATTGAACTCTGTGGAATCTCCATTTGAGGTGAGCAAAGTGGTCCTTAGAGCTCCAGGGGATTCAGTCATGGAGTGGTTTAAGAAACCGATTGTTCAACAGTTTCTTCTGAATGAGATTCCGTCGAGGGCCGACATTCTCATGCACAAGCTGAACACGATATTTCCTAGTTCAGCGCCAGAGATTAGATCTCTATCGCCGCCCAAACCGCTCATGGTTAGGAAGGCAGTTTGAATGTAGCAATGCTTTAGCTGTAACTTGTTAAACGAATGTCAGTTGTGATTGTGAGGAATCTCAAATTATGTTATACATAGCACATTGGGATTACAATGTGCATTTCATATTGGTAGCTTGCCTAGCTGCTTAACTTTTGCATGCCCAGTGATGATCTGAAAGTGAAAGAGCGTGGATGTGGGAGATGAATAATGAGAAGTAGCATGTCTAAGAAATGAGAGTATAGTGGCGGACGGCCGGCGGATTCCATCTCCACCGAGAGTATATTGCCCTTTTGTTTTGTCCCTTCTTTTTATCATTTTTATCCTATTTGTAGGAGCACCCACGGCATTCCGGTTGTGGAGGAGTGACCGGAGCGGAGAGAAGGGGAGGAGATTAGAGTAGTAGGTTGTAGTTGGGTATTTGAAGTATATTTGAAGGGTGATTTATCTAAGCACTCAGCGATTATAGTACAGTGTCTGCCCGTAAAATATCATGAGTCACAAACCTAAACTCGTAATACTTTACGGACAAACACCAAACTCTAACCACTTATTACTTAGGTAAATCACACTTCGAATATAACTTCAAATACCCAGCGAAAACCTCGTACTCTTCTCTCCTCTCCGTTTCTCTCCGCTCCGGTCACTCCTCCGCAACCGGAATGTATGGGCCAGTCTCCAATATCTCGTGCAACAAACAGATCACCATTCATATAACCATAGTAAACAGCACCTACCGAGTTTTTCGATTCGGGTTTCTCGATTCTGAGCCGCTCTGATGTAGAAGCAGGTTTATGGCCTCTGGACAGCTCAATTGCCTTTCCAAGCTTGCCCAACATCGCCCTGCAGTCCCCTGCATTAGCTATCAGCATTGTCCTGAAAGGAGAAAAGGAGCACTTTTCAGTAGTTACTCTGATTGCGAGCAAGCAGATCGAAAGAGTGATTATCATTCAAATCTTTCAATGAAACAGTTTCACAGTAAAAGCCGGCTCGGAAACCTGGGATCTGTATAGACAGATATAGTTCGCCAAGCAAATCTTACCGCTAAGTTCCTTAAGAACAATTGATCCACAAAATTATACAAATTTTAGTAGTGGATACTCGAACTCATACTAAAGCAATCGTATGAACATCTAAGAGCAATTCGTCCATGGTCAAAGCGTAAACGCTAGAATCACCGACTATTTTGCAATGTAGTTACAAGAATCACTAATGCACCAACATTTTATTATTGTCGTCTTATTTACGTAAGATAAAACGTGAAAGATTACGAGATAATCTCAGAAATATGTATACAGAAAATATACTATAGTGTTGTGAAATGAAATGTCAATGGTGCACATATTGTACAAAACTCTCCTAATTTGTCTAATTTCAAAACAAAAAATTCTTTTACTTCCTTTACGTCATGCCATATTAAATTTGTTTTACATTACCTGGTATCAAATTCGTTTACAAGTTTTAGTTAATTTATCTATCTCCAAAATGCTATTGATTTATTGGTTTATCTAAATCATATATGATGTTAAAATATGAAATGCACTACAATCTAAGAATTTGACCATCTCCCGTGCTGCTATTAAGTCTAGTTAACATCTCAAAGATCGGATGTCAAAATTTCATAGGTAAATCTTAAAAATACCCACCAATACACAACAAAATCTTAAAAGATCACATCTAGAAATGTTCCTCCTGAAACTCTCAAAGGATATATCTAGAAATACCAGCCAATACACAACAAAATCTCATAAGATCACATCTAGAAATGTTCGTCCACCTAACCAATCATCTATTATAATATATTATATATTAGATGAATAATACTTTTAGGAGGAAATTAATGAGAATATTTTGAATTCTGCCATTGATTGCATAAATAAAAGCTTAAAACATCACATCTAGAAATGTTCCTTGACATGGTTAAGTTTTTGCCTATAACCCATTCCCACGTATCTATGTGCTTCCGTCATTAGTAAGCTTGCATGGGACATAAGATTGTCTCAGACAATCGAACAGTGATGCCTAGATGAGCCCTAGTTCTAAGCTCTTGTGACCATGTGCACAGGAAAATTGCCTACATTTTTTATAATTAGCTTGTCAACATCGATTTGTGGGATTCGAGCATGGCAAATTTGTTGTGCTCTAGCTCACAATAGTGTATACTCGACAGGTCTACATTCAAATTCTTTTGAAACGGGTTGATTCTAGGGTTTTCATAAAGGATTTAATTAAGTTGTAACAAAATTTGCCCCAAATGGATTTGTACTTTGTAAACAGGACACCAAGTAAAATCCAACAGATTTACGCCTTTGGTTCTAATTCTCGAGAACACCATTTTATAACTGCCTTTTAAAGCTTCTTAACTCTTATCTTACCCTCGATTCACGGAGAAATAATTTATTGGTCGTTTTTTCAACGGTATGATTTGGAAAATTCAATTGGGTTCAAGCGAACCTCACGAGTCACTTCAAAATCGGCTTCCTTCTTCCAGTGGTTGCTACGTAACATGTACAGATCATTTAATTAGTTCAACCGAGCAAAAAACGAAACAAAAACATTAATTTATTTCTTTAAAACAAAGGAAAGGGACCATGTTTTTTTATTTATAAATGCATCGACTATTACTTCACTTTGTCTCGGTAATCAGGAAGGGTGTGTTTTTGATGTGGGAGTACGTGGAAGACGCAGGAGCGTTGCAAGGATTTAATATCAACAATGATCAAAATAGAACTGCCGAATTTATTTATTTAAAACGAAGGAAAGAGATCGGGTTTTCTTATAAGGGTATCAACCATTAATTCTCTCTTATCTCGGTAATCAAGAAGGGTTCGCATAGAAGACGCAGCCGCATTGCAAGTAGTTGATATCAGCATTGATCAAAATAGAACTGCCGAATCTATTTCTTTAAAACAAATGAAAGAGAAGATCAGGTATTGTTGTTAGGGTATTGACCATTAATTTTCTCTCTGTCTTGGTAATCAAGAAGGGTCCACTTTTGATGTGGGAGTAGATGGAAGACACAGAGCCGTGCAAGGAGTTACTATGAGCAATGATCAAATTAGAACTGTTTCAAATTTATTTCTTTAAAACAATGGGAAGAGACCGGGTTTTCTTATAAGGGGCATCGACTATTAATTCTCTCTTATCTCGGTAATCAAGAAGGTTTCTGCTTTTGACGTGGGCGTAGTTGGAAGACGTAGGACCGCTGTAAGGAGTTAATATCAGAAATGATCAAAATTGAACCGCTGAATTTACTTCTTTGAAACAAATGAAAGAGATCGGGTTTTCTTATAAGGGCATCGACCATTAATTCTCGCTGTTCCGATAATCAAGTAGGGTCCACTTTTGATATGGGGAGTAGGTTGATAACGCACGAGCGCTGCAACGGATTAACATCGTTAATGATCAAAACAGAAGCGCTGAATTTATTTCTTTAAAACAAAGGAAAGAGACCGGATTTTCTTATAAGAGCATCAATCATTAATTCTCTCTGTCTCGGTAATCAAGAAGGGTATGCATTTGATGAGGGAGTAGGTGGAAGACGCAAGCGCGTTGCAAGGAGTTAATATCAACAACAATCCAAATAGAACTGCTGAATTTATTCTTTTAAAACAAAGGAAACGGACAAGGTTTTCTTATAAATGTATCAACCATTATTTCTCTCTGTCTGGGTAATCAAGAAGGTCTCGCTTTTGATGTGAGAGTAGCTGGAAGATGCAATAGTTCTTCAAGAAGTTAATATGAGCAATGATTCAAATGGAACCGCTGAATTTATTTCTTGAAAACAAAGGAAAGAGATCGGATTTTCTTATAAGGACATCGACCATTAACTCTCTCTGTTCCGTTAATCGAGGAGGGTCTGCTTTTGATGCTCGAGTATGTGGAAGACGTAGGAGCACTGCAAGGGGTTAATATCAACAATGATCAAAATAGAAGTGCTGGATTTATTTCTTTAAAACAAAGGAAATAGATTTCTTATAAGGGCATCGATCATTAATTCTCTCTGTCTCGATTATAAAGAAAGGTCCGCTTTTGATGTGGGAGCAAATGAAAGACGTAGAAGCGGGCAAGGAGTTAATATAGCAAAGATCAATATAATATTGCTGAATTTATTCTTTAAAACAAAGGAAAGAGACCGGGTCTTCTCAAAAGGGTATCGACACATTAATTCTCTTTGTCTCGGTAATCAAGAAGGGTCCTCTTGTGATGTGAGAGTTGATGGAAGATGCAGGAGCGCTGCAAGGAGTTAATATCAACAATCATCAAAATGTTAGGACGTGTGGTTCATGCTCTTTATCGATAGGAAGGTATATGATTTCATGAATAGATATTGCTTATGTATAATCTCTTTTTATTATAATTGTGAGTTGTAATTAAGAGGTGGGAAGTGCTATCTTTATTGGATGTAGCCCTAATTGAATGGTAAATCAAAATAAACCTTACGTCTCGATTTCTCTTTCTCACTTTTGCTCTCTATTTCGTTATGTTTGTGCACCTAATCCTAATACAAAATGGAAAAAGAGGTACATGGTCAAAATGCGATTTCAATTAGCGATGCGAGTTTTATTTAATTTGATTTCTGTTTTTTTTTTTTGGCTTTATTGTGTGTTGTTCATTGCGATATCTGCAATGCAAAAACAAAATGGCTTCAACAAAAGAAAGATTGTCCTCCTTTCCCCGGAGGAGGTCGAAGCACTGATCGCTCTATTGGACGAAGATCCGCGGCCCCATAGGCTTAGCAGGGTGAGAGTTCATGGCGCAACTCCCCCTGAAGAAATGATTGATGCGGATGTTGAAGGAATGAGAGAAATGCAGGCTAGCGGATTGGAGCTCTTGGAAGGGTAGTTTAGTGCTCTGCTCTCTCTCTTTTTTTATTCCTTCTTTTCTTTTTCATTTTGTATTCTGTTTGTAGGAACACCTACCCATTTCGAATGGGGAGGAGTGACTGAAGCGAAGAGAAAGGGAGAGGAGAGGAGAAGAGAAGGAGGTTTTAGCTGGGTATTTTGTAGTGGCCGGTAGTTAGAATCTGTTTGGCAGTGTTCCTTTTATGATGATTTTCTTTTGGTGTCGCTTCATTGTTAGCTGGGTGTTTGGGTTGGGCCATGAGGATGATGTTTACATTGAAAATGTCCTTGCCAGCATTTCACTCAGCTGTTTGAGAAACATGTTTGGGTTAGATTGTTCATGTAGTCCTATTTGATCTCAAGGTAATCTGACTGATTATATCACAAGGAAGAAATTGATGGAAAAGCCCCTTATGACAGGCATTTCCTTTTCTGCCCCTTAAATGAGTGATCGGTTTGAACTCAAAATATTTGGGGCCTAAAGAACCTCAGAAGTGCGATAATCATTGAGCATACCATATACAGTCCTCTTAGTGAGTGCAAAGTGGTGAGAACATGAAATAAAATCATCTCGCAAGGTTTTTGCACTGGTGTAAGAGCCGATCAGGCTAGCACTTTGCTGATCAACAGTTTAACTGGTTGGAATAGTTGGACTTGCTGGTTGGTGACATAGATTTCAAAAGGTAGGTAGCCTATATAAAGTAATTATACCATGGACGCAAATTCTAGTCTAGCAAAGCGATCGGTTTGCGCTCTCAAATGTTTGAGGCTGCGCTTCAAGACTCTTCATTGAAAACGGATTATAAAAGAAGACCAAACAAGACCAGGTTCTTGTATCTTAGTGTAACCAGTTTGAACACAAGGTTGTTAAAATCTGATTCTGCTTAGGATCGATGGGGATGTTCGACAGATTGAATTGTATGAACAGATTGAAAATCATAAGATCCTAAAAATTTCACAAAAGAAATAAACTAGAATTGTCATGTAAAATTTACCAAATATGATAATGTTTGAGATCATAACTCCGAAAGGCTAAAATTGAAAGAACAGGCAATATTCCATAATCTAATATATCAACTTATGCAATTTGCAATATTAAATATACTAGATTTATATGACAACCGAATCAATAGGATCCTCCTACTTATACTACATGTTTTTCCCTGATTTCAAAAATTGTAGGATCCTGCTATGTGAATGGTGATTTTTCTAGACATGGTTGAATAGGGCTGTCCGGTCAGGAGAACATTATTAGGAACAGTTGTCACTTGAAAGTATATAAGTGCATCGCCCAACGTTGAGACTCGTACAGGTCCAACTCTATGCCAATTTTAGACTCAAAGATGGATCTCTTTATGCTGAAATAGCAGATTGAGGAATGTGGCCCAAAATAATGAGCAGATTTTATGTTTTTAAGGGATAGAAGGCTGCTCATGAAAGGTTTTTCCCATCTGTTATGCGGTCTGCTCTCCGAGAGCTTGTCTGCCACCAAGTATAAGTTACCAGAAAAATATGATCCTGTTCTTTCAAAACACGATCATCAATTCATATGCCATGAGAAATCACAGAATATTAATCTCACATTACCAAATTTTTGTGTGAGATCCCTCTCCTCCGCAATATTTTCAACAGAAAAGATCAAGATAAATGTGTGCGTTTCCCTCACCTAATCCGCATCCGCTAGAAATCATCATAGATTTCTTAGATACACCAGAATCTTTTTAACGGGCAAAGTTCCCAATGTCCTGTAAGCTCAGGAAAATGAGAATTAGCACAAGATATGCAGGATATCCTTCAAAGTGATAGGTTTGCAATGTGAGGATTTCTATACTGTGTGAGTGGATAGTTCAGGTGAATTTGGAAACATTTTTGGAGGCAATGTAAGTAAAAGAATTGGAAATCCGATGATTTATTATTGAAGGCTTGCTGCCATGTTGTCATTTTGGTGTTTTTCTTTGTATGAACTAAACATAGCGAGTCTGCTGCGGACCACATCTTGGGACTATCGACAGCGGAAACTTCTTCTAGTTTAGAACTTTAGATTACTAAATGCAAAAGTGCTTTCAAGTGCAAGAATGCATGGCCGCACATTTATCAAATAAAACAACTTTCAACACTCTTACCCAGTAGATTGTTCTATATTTTCTTTTCCTAACCCTGTTAGGACCGTCAAGCTTTCCTGTGCCAAGTGGGGGTTCTCTTATGTTGTGAGTTGCTGCTCATGTTCTGGTTGAAGGACCAAATGGGAAGAGAACGAACACAATCATCTAAAAATTCGATAACCATGCAGAAGATTTCTTATGCTGATTAATTTCCTTTTCTTGTTCTTCTTTTGCTTAAAGCGAAGATACTTTCCTGGTTATCCTTCCCGTGGCTGTGCCGTGTCAAGATAGTGTCGAAAGTGATTTCAGCTGTTTGAGTGTTGGCATCTCTTGTCTACTTGTGTTCGTTAAATTTCTCTGATCCCAATGTGGAGCTTTCTATTTACCAGAAGTAACCAGTGTGTCTCCTGGATTTCTTTGATTCTTAAATGTAAAGATTCATATGCTCTTTTCTGTTCAGGGGTCATCCATGAAGAGCTTGCACTTTATGTTCGGGCATAGAAGTACTTCAGCTTTCAGGCAAAGGCTTCATCAACAGATTGAAGATGATGACATACAACAGCCATTGTTCATCAACCAACTGCCTTTCAGATTAATCACAGTTCGCGTGAGACATTATTGACTGTCAAATGCTCAATGCAAAGTTGTCCATTTAGCGACGCCTTGGATTTTTACCCTCCTGTTTGTCACTTCTCACCGATCCTTACAAACAATAAGGTGCTATCGATGCATTGCAGCATCTGGCCATGAATGGAAGAAAGACCAACATGTTTGTTTCCAGTGTGCAAGCAGATGAGGAAAAATAACAACATGATGAATTGACAAGCAAGGAACAATTCCGTGCCAGAAATATAAGGTGCAAAAACGAGTTCTTATTCAAACTGTACAAGGTACAGATTAAGGGCAAAATAAAGAAAACCAGTGGTTAATCGTCCTCTCCTTGGACACCAGCCGGAGGAATGTTGTAAATGTTCCTGTAAATAGATCAAAAATGAAAAAGAAGAAAAAAAGAAGGCACAAAAAAATTAATAAAAAGAGAGAGAGAGCAAAGAACCACTGTACCCGTGGTCGTGCACGAATCCGCCCATCACGAGTTTCTCCCTCATCTGTTCAATAACATGGGCATCTATGGCTCCTCCTTCGGGGTCATGGTCGTTGATTCTAACCTTCTCGAGCGGATAGGGGCGTGTAAATTGAGTCAACAGGTCCATCAAAGCTCCTACCTCGTCCATGTCATGTACGTCTATCATCCATCTGTTGAGGACCCGGAAACCTTCGTAGAAATAGGCATTCTCAGCCAAAGCCAGGGCATTGCGCGCTGCACCAACCGCTCTAACAAACGCACGAAAAAGCCAAAAGAAGAAGAAGAAAAAAAAACATAAATCAGATCGAACGAACTGGCACTGCCAATTGAAATCGCATTCGGTGTACATGTCTGCTGTCCTCGCGGCATCTGCACTCTGCTGGGTTCCGCGAATTCTCGCGAGATTCGCGAGCTGGTGGTCGAGCTGGATTTCGCGAAGTCTCCTATTTTCGCAGAGCGGGACAAAAGTTGCAAGAGGAGTAGCCATGCGTTTGTTTTTCTTTGCACAAGTGATTTCCACTCGAGAGGAGGATGAGCTTAATATAATGGGTTCTGATAAGATTTCGGCAGTTGGATGTGCCCAACTGATCAGGGGCCGTCCATGAAGATTATGAGCCGAAACGATTATGCCTTTTTGAAGGATCATGTCTTTTACCTTATTTTTCGTGAAAAGAAATTAGTTTCTTGTCTATCGTCTTGTTATGTGCGTCTAGAAGTAATGGACCCATTAAATCATTTGGTTGGTTTGGTCTTTGGGAGGAGTAGCTTCTTGGTAATGACTAGGATTGGTTTTATGATGCTAAGGTTTATGAAAATGAGACAGGAGGGGATGTTCCCAATGTCCTATGAAAGCACGCGAGTAATTGTGAGAGATGGGAGTGTAAGGGCAGGGTTCCCAATGCCAATGGTACACAGCTGGTTTGAGTTTGGAACCGAATGGTAAGTAACCGATCAAAAAAGCAAAAAATCGGAATTGTTGCGACGTAGAATCTTCAACGAATCAGCACGAAGATAACACATCAAGCGGAGTATCCATGAGTTGATCGTCTGGAGATCTTTTCTGATTCGTCTTTTATTTAATTTCCATGTAGATAAAATTGTCATCTTTTATCTTTGACTTCCACCGTAATTAGAGGCGATGAAATCTCTATTTATGCTATCTCAATGAAAAGCATCACTCCATCGGCTCAATTCTCTATTTTCTTTATGCCCACGAGTTAATCATGTAGAGATCTTTTCTGCACTGCAACAGTTTTGATTTTTCGCCTTATGATTTGTTGCTTTAACAAAAGATATCCAGATGCATTTTAAACTTTTGGATCCTGCATGTTCATTGCACTCACATTATATACGTATAAGAAAACACATAAACCTATAATTGGCTAAAAATATATCATTTTTTTAACTTGTCTTATACCATCTAACTAGTATTCTTGTCTATACTTCTTATGGGTTTTATCTGTAATTTATTTTTGAATGTTTATTAATAACCCATATTGCATTTTATATATTCTAATTCTATGAGTAAGATAATGGAGTCTATTGTGTCGTGGATAGACGAATTAATTTTATCATGTACGTATGAATTAAGATACGGCGAGACGTTTTGAAGTATTTCTCACTTAATTCATGCGATTGCTTGATGTGTACACCGATCAATCTTATTATATTTCCACTTCATAATTACTATACAAATTCAATTCTATTGCAAAATTATTACCGAACAGCGATGGTGTTCATCTGGAGAGCAATACAAAACATAATTTTAGAGCTAACATGTCTTTGCAATGTAATCCATTGTATCCCCTCCATGATGGGTAGGTTATTTCTCTCATTCAAATGGCTGATCTCTTTTTCAACACGATAATGAGTTCTCTACTTATGAAGCTTGAGTGCTTAAGCAAAAATACTTGAAACTGAGTCTAGTTTGCAGCGTCACTTTGGAAGTTTTGGCTGTCATAGATCTTTATACGTTATCCATCGATGCAGTTTCAAGCGCTATTGATATCTCCTGCAAAATAAACAGTGCAATGCATCAGTTATGATCAATAACCGCAAGAGGTAGCATCAAGAGACTTCAGTCTCTCAAAGGAAATCATGAGCACAAATAGCAGAATCACCTACACCATATTTAACCTCACTTCACGTAACAGGACAAATATCGTCATGGTCAACTTGGATGTTCTGAATGTAAAAAAGTAAGTTCAATTTATGAGAGAGAAACTGCAAATGGAGTGTCGAGGCTACATTCCTTAGGATTTCCATAAGCTTCGCTTAACACTGTGCCTATCGACTGAACTTTAAGGTTTCATGATTGGATGTTATCTAGTCCAAGTACATCCATCCAAGCACATTATATCATTTCCTACTTGGCAATAGCTATGATTTGAAGGTTCAAATCCAGTTACTCATAATGGTACTCCTGTAGAAGCATGAACAGCAGGATTTCCTTTTCTGTTCAATATTGCAGAGCTAATCTCCTTACAATATAGGACGAAAGAAAAAGAAAACATGTGACACTATCTAAATCTTTGCTTACTCCAGAGAGCAAAAAACATATCTATGCTTACCCTAAACTGAATTGGGGGAAGTACTTTTTTTGGATGAACTTCTACGAGAATCTTATGGGGAAAAAGAGACTCCAGCACTAGATAAATCTGGGCTATACTCACAAAAAGAATCTCTCTCTCTCTCTCTCTCTCTCTCTCTCTGTGCATCCATAAGATGTACACATGCACGCACACTGAATGCACTTACCTTCGCCTCTGCATCCCTTGATAATATGCATCTTGATGTGATAGCACGCCCATTATCGAACAGCCATCCTGCCTCACTACAAGTTTCACCATTTTCTCTTTCTCGAAGTGAACACCACAATTGTTTTGGAAGCAACACCAGGTTGCTATCGTCCCTCACCAATCTTTGTACACCAACCTCCATAAGTTCCAAGAGTTTCTGAAATTATTTGACAGATTCCGAACATATTGATCAGCTGATTCAAGACATTGGGATATAGAAGCAAACTTCGACTACTAAAAGTTGCAAAGTTACTTGAACAAAGAATGCAGCCATATCTCCAAACGAAAACTATATTTGACTAACTTCATAGCCTAATTTCCAGGAAAAACTAAATTAATACCCCACCCACATCCTATGTATCTTCAACAAAGCCTTATTGCCCTTAGCAGCTTATAAGTCACATTTACAAAATTTTCAAGTTGATGGAAACATCACAAAGCAGTTCCAAGAACTACATTGCTTAATACCCCCATGCAAACCCTCGGACGACCTATCCAAGATTAGGGGGGAGATCCTCAGTTTGGAATGAAATTCCTTTCCTAGCTACTATGCTTCCTTTGGTCTGGTACGATGCTCTCCGTCATCTTCTCATGAACCAATTCCTTTTCTTTTCTACGATCTACATATGCAATATTCCTCTATATACATAGCCAATGTATACCCGGAGAGAGTAAACGTGCGAAGGGATATTGCCCTTACAATACAATGCAATGATTTTTGTTTTTTAAAGATAAAGAAATAATTCTTTTTTTTTAGGTTGGTCATGCCATAAGCCTCAACCGTTACGTACAACAAACGCTTAAACCTTGAAGATAATTGACTTTTGGACCCTATCCAGGTTGTAGAACAATTAGAAGCGACTGAAAGATCTTTGAGTAATGATTTTCCGATTAATTGAAGTCCTTACAGGCAGCTCTCACAAAATAAAACTCGAATGAACAGACAAATGAGTCAATTACAAAACCAAAAAGAGGTGCAAACAGCTGTCCGCCGTAAAGAATGCAAGAGATGATATTAAAGGTACCAATGATAGTTCAACCAAAATGTATTGATAATGAGCCATGAATCCCTTTCAAATTGAATTTGAAGATAATAATAGGAAAAAAAAAAAACCAATTTCATTCTCACGTTTACTCCATTACCACTATTTCTCCTCTATTTCTCCTAACACCAATTTTCATCCTTAGATAAAACTTTATGGGAAAAAGGACTAAATTGGCCTCTGTTCGAAAGTCCAACCCAAAAGCTTAAGCTATTAGGTGAAGGGAGACCACATGAATATAAAGAGCATTTAGGACCCGTTGTCAATCAATGTGGGATAATACTTCAACACCCCCACTCACGTGGAAGCCGGATTACGAGCAGCATGTGAAATTTTGGCATCGCACATTCATATGGAAATTTTTCCACACACATTCGCGAAAGGGATAGCATTAGCTCTGATACCATGTTAGAAAGTCCAACCTAAAAGCTTAAGCTATTAGGTGGAGGGAGACCACATGAATAGAGCATTTAGGACCCGTTCTCAATCGATGTGGGATAATACTTCAACAGCCTCCGTCTAGAAAACAAGCATAACTCTCAACTCACCAACCACAAAAGCCAACCCCTCCAAACTCTAATTCCTAAGCCCCAACAGCAACACACATGAAGCCTCGCTTCTTCCACCCACCACAGCCTCTGTTGCCGTACGCTGTCCCGCCACCTCCAGCCATGTCTCCCATTGTCCATCTCCACCACCACCCTCGACCCCAAAGCCCCCTTTGATGCTCTATTTCTGATTTTTTTGGGGGGGTGTGATCTCTCTCTCTGGTTTGTGCTCTCTCTAGCATTGAGTTTGACACCAGCGTTGAGCTCAGATTCCTCCGGCAGAGGCGTCAAGCCTCCAGATTTGGAGGCTAATCTCTGCAGCCAAGGAGGCGTCGACCTTGGGCTTGATGGTGGATCCATGGTGTCCAGACTCTGACCTCCATGCATGGTGATTAGCTGGTGCCACAAATAATAGAGAGAGACGGATGAAGGGGATGCTTGGATTGACGCGGGTGAGAAGGCTGAGACAGCACCGGTGCGGTAGTGGCTGTGGTGGTGGACATAGCGACTGAAACTTGGTAAGGGTAGCTTATGTTCCAAGTTTGGGAAATTTAGAGCTGAGATAAGGGCAATTTAGGAAGAAAGTGTCATTTTGTAACTTATTATAGAATGATAACCGATCTAAGCTGTAAATTGGTATCCAAGATGCTCAGGACTGTAAGTGTTAATTCTAAAAATAAGGAGTGAAAGTGGTAATGGAGTAAAATATGAGGGTGGTATTTGGTATTTTCCCATAATAACAATACGTTCCAATGACTAAAATCCTTTTCTAATATGAATCTAAGAAGATTGTTGGTTCCATAACTAGAATTCTGTGTGAGGGTAATGGCATAGTCATGTTGATGAAACATCAACACCAACACTTTTGCCTAATGTTTGTGACATCATACTTGATTTGGTGTAAAAAATTTATCAAACAAGTCTAGATCATCAGAAGATAACTACAGTGCTTTCAGAAGAACAACTATTCTCGTCTCCTTAGCCTCTTCTATCTATATGGCATTGTTCCTGAAGGTCCTACTGAACTTGGGTTTTTTATCACTCAAAAGTTGAACTCAAAATCAAAGGGAATGCCCAATAAGACAACTAAACTATGTCTCTTCTATGCATCGCGCAAGACAGTGCACCACTAAAGCACATGACAGATTAACTCGGTTCATTGCAACATCATCACAGAGAATCAACAATAAAAGAAGCAGTGCCTGTGTGTAAAGAGAAATAAGTCCAAGACAAGTTTAGCGCAGAAGAAAGGCAAAAAGGTCATCAGCAACTAAGGATCCATGTAAGAAACACCATATGTTTAGACTTAGTGAACAGAAAAGTGAATGAAAGGAAGGAGACTCACATCTTGAGAACTGTGGAAATTTGCCGTGGAAGTGGGGCCCTGCCAAACACCAAGAACATCAGACGCTGCCGTGGCAGGAGTAGATGCAAAAGCAGAATCGCGGATAGCACATCCCCCCAGTTGGTCACCATTTCTAAATGGCCCATACCATTGCTCGCAAAAAACCCTAACGCCTTTAAGCAGAACTTTGTTGTTGGACACATGTATGACCTGAGTTATCCTCACACGGGACTCCCGGTCTAGGGGATTAATCAAACAAAACTCCACTTCCAACATCTTATCCTTGACCTTATCTTCCGTTGGCCAAACAGAAACATAACAGCCGCTAGATTGATAGGCAAATGCAGCAGCTTTGCCGTTTGCTTCCCCAACATATCTCTCATCGACGCTATAGCGCGTGGCTGCATCGGCTTCACATCCGACGGTGGGGAGCAACTTAATCGTCTTGTAATCAAGAATACGCTCTTCAGCATTCGCAAGAGTAGGGCATTGAGTCTGCCAATCAAACACTTTCACCTCCCACTCCCTGTAAGCTTCGGGCACAACCGACTCAGGAAGCTCAATTGGCTTCCCTTCGCTGGAGAAGTCCGCCCCGAACCCATCCCACTCGCCAGATATGTTTCTGGCGAATTCTCTCCAGGCTATTCACATACACAACATCGAATCGAAAACCTCAGGCAATCAAATAAAGCTCTCAGTTTGAACATTATTATAACATCATTGCATTTTTTGCTAAAGGAATCTGACCAGAACAATGACAAAAGAAATCCCTCCTCACAGTATTTTGACCAGATTAAACTGAGTAAAAGTTTCAGTTTGAAGATGATATGGATTCAGAACAATGAACATTCGCTTCAATCACACGATTGTTTCCTTTGAAATCACGCCACAGCAGAACACCGCCTTCCAATCTTCTACAAGAATAAACTCAGCGAAAGATGAAATTTTCCCACATACCCACTTCGCAGACTGAAAAAATTTATCAATACAAGACAAGGAATTCGTCACTTACTATCATCGGTGGTGCTCTCAGGAACTTCGACACGTGGGATTGGCGAACTGGCTATGGACGGCGAAGCACAAGGGATCGAAGAGAGCCGAGCCTGATGGGACAGAGAGAAGGGATTGCAGTGGAGGCCAGGAGTGGGAAAAGGGTGGAAAGCCCGAAGCTTCTGAAGCTTCGGCGATGGCGGTGTCCTCGCGTGGGATGACAGTATGGAAGTCCTGCTCGTTGCAGAGGCTGATGCTAATGCCATTTCCTCGAATGACCTTCGCTCTTCTCCTTCTTTCCCTTCGTACCCAGAAGAAGAAGAAGGAAGAAGACGAAGGTGGGGGGAAGCGAGACCAAGAAGAGCGGATTGATTCAACTTACCGAGAGAGAGAGACGCACGGACCAGAGGAAAACACCGGTCGAATTTGGCAAGGCGAGCATGGACTTTGAATAAAAATTGAATCTTGGAGAGTGGCAGAGGAATATTCTTGTTGAGTTAGTGAGAGTCACAAAGCATTTTGCTTGGCTAAATGCTCCCAAGACAATGTGACCTTCATGTTTAATGCAAGGGATGAAAATTATCAAAAGCGAAATACTAACAAGATTTTGACACCACTACGGTAAAGTTGTGGAACGATATTTTTTTCCGATGATAAATAAGATTTCATTTAAGAACGCACCACGAGGGTACCGGCTGAGGGTGGCCAACGAGTCGTGCCGGCTCGGTTCAGGCATGACCATGCCAGGAAAATGATCGACGGTCGGCCCCAAAAACCAGAAGGGATCGGTCACCGTTGATCAAATAGTCAGTGAACAGTCATTCATTGGGAATAGGTGAACGTCCAACGGCGAGTCGGCACCATCTCCTCTATAAACCGGCTTCATTCCTTCTCATTTTTTTTTTTCATTTTTCAATTCTCGCTTATATATCACTTCATAATGCTCTTGCTATAATAAAGTCAACACCGAGAATATGTTAAAAAGAAAGCAATCATCCAAAACCATCATCCAAAGCCATCTTGTATATGTCGAGATTATACAGGCGCAATTATCACGGGCTTCGCTAAATTGGTGAAGGTTTCCTTTGTCTCTCAAGTTGAAAACCTAGCCGTCCTGGAAGCACTCCAAATTGCAGCGTCGAACGAAGACATAATTGATAACTTAATAATGGAGTCCGACTGTGTAGATCTTATAGAAGCTCTGAGAAGTGGATCCGCAGATTTATTCAATTGAGAGGAGCGACTCCTTATCATGGATTGTCTTCAGCTCAAGCTCACCCCTCAATCCGCATAGCCCATTGTCCACGGGCTTTAAATGCAGCTACCGATTAGATCGCAAAGAGCCAATGTCTTGGCTCTCTTCCACAATATTGGCTTTCTGCACTCCCGCAAGCCCTTTAGGCTCTCTTATGCTTAGATTCTCCTTGTTTTGGACTTTTCAGATCATCTCCGTAAATGAATAAATTTGTTCTTCGACCAAAAAAAAAAAATCCAAAGCCATCTTGAGCAATAATTAAAAATGATCTCGTAGTTGAGCTTCGGGACAAGACGCCGTGAGCGGTAAATTAAAAGTCTAAAGATGTTATACTTATTACCTAAAGTAAACCAATCTATAACAAGTGATTGAATATGCAAATGCAATATACTATGCGAGAATATGTCTTGAATAAATTACTTTCCTAAGAAGAGCCAATAATTACGGAAATGAAATTTATCATGGAGTAATCTAAAGTATTCGATGTGAATATTGCCTTAAATCTACCATGCGAAAAATGCTTATATCAATATTCATATATGACTCGTGCAAATTATTTTCCTAAAGAGGAAAATGCAAAAGTGGAAATTAAATCTACTTTAGACCAGAAGTATGCAATTTTTATCCCAAATACAAATGCAAATCCCGAGGATATTTGTACGTGATTCTGTTAGGAAAATGCAATCTAAATTACCAATATGCAAGATATGTACGTAACATCTGAATTTTATGCATACCTAAAACACTGTGGAAGGATGTCGCAATCCTTAAATAATCTAAGTATGCAAAAAGGGAATTTTTATTTCCACTCTCACGTGACACCTATCGTGTTAAAATTACCGACCAACCGCATCTATACGAGAAAAATTGCTCTACGTGCATCATGCATGGTGAAATTGCCAGATGCACCATGAAAATGCATCAAACTAGTGTGTAAGAACGTTTATTGTATCAAAGATTGATGTAGTGCATCATCCATGGAGACATAAAAGAGAACACTCGACCAATCCGGTTATCACGAAAATAAGCACAATATCAATTACAACTCTATTAGCGGCCAATGCAAATGGGCACACGCACATTCACTACTTCTTATGGTGGCTAAGCCTAGGGGTGAGCGGTTCCAGGTTTCTCACAGGTTCCACCTGGAACCTGGAACCTACCCTCGGGTACATGCTTCTCATTTTTTGAAATCTGAAACCTACCCGTCGGAACGCGGAACCTAGAACCTACCCTGTCACAGGTTCCAGGGTCGGTTCCAGGTTCCAACAGGTTCTTTTTTTTAATTTCATTTTTAGTTAAACAAAACGAAAATAAACGCAACAATGACTAATTATTGGAAAGCAACATTTCGCTTAATAGAAAAGGGATAGAACGTACAAATAGTAATTGTTGGGATGCAATACATGACTTTAATTCCAAGGCAAGATGCCACATTTTTCTCAACAAAAAGTACAAAACATGCTCCCCTCCAAGCTTCTCCAAAGTTGAGATTTTTTTGTTTCTGGTCATCAAAACAAGTTGCTCCTCCAAGCTCCTCCACCACTTGCAATACTGAAAGGAATTAGTTGTGTAGTGGCAATCAAACCTCCAAGAGAACCACTGGCAACAAAAGCAATGTAGAAAGAGGAGAAACACGGAAACTGAGCGTCGATAATTGGGTCAAACAGGAAGCGGAATGTTAACAATAATAACATGATAAGGATGAGGCAAATCCAGCAGCCTACATGGCTCATGGCACATCCCTTATCAACAAAGAGTAAAAACAGCATCCTTAAATGCTAAAGCAAAGTTACCAATAAAACCATGGACTTCTTTCAATATCAGTCCAACACACTGACTACTCTTCAGGGAAAATCTATCACTTTCATCCAAATTAAACGGCATTTACAGGAGCTGTTGTTATGGGCATAACCCATTAAAACCACTTTCTTTTTTTGTTTTTTTGGTTGAACATTAAAACCACTTTCTTAAGTACCAACCAAATCCTTGAATCTTAAAACATCAAAAACACTTCACATTCTCAATGTGGCCTATCATTCCATCCTCACATGAGAGTTAATCCTAACTATAAGACCTTTTAAGTGACAAACTCAGTTAGATTCTCCATCAAATTTTATTTAAAATTTTCACCCATACTTGCAGAAAACACAATTTAGAAAGAGCTTTCCAGCACCTGCTTCATATTTTCCATTTTTAGTTCATTAATCACAGCCATATATGCGCTTTTACATAAATGGCTACCATGAAGATAGACATGTGCAATAAATTTAAGGGGAACATAACAGGTAACTCACAATGAATGGAATGAATGCTATCCAGAAGTATGTATGCCAGCCTGCACAGAGAAAAGTAAAAAGCAGAGGTCATGTGATAACACTCACAACATTAGGCCACACTCAAATACAAAAACTACGCAGAAGGCACTGGTGAGAAAATAATGTGCATTTACAATAATAGATTGGACCCAACAAGTCTATGGTTTTCGATATGGCACTTTTATACACTCAAAGTAGATGAACCTCAAAAGCATCACTAAAAGATTAAATAGTGGCATGCAGATCCATGAAGACAGGCATGGCAATAAATAAACAATTTCATTAATGCAGATTGTTATAAAAGAACACTTTTGGCCATTGAAGCAGTAAAATAAAATAAATATTAAAAAGCCTCAACACATATATTCATTCTTCAACTGGTAAACTCTATTTACTGACAAAAATCTCCTCATCAAGACAATCCATATCTAAAAAAAAACGAGACTAAATTAAATATTCACTTATTAGATATATAAAAGGAATTGCAATATATAAAGATATAAACATCACTTACCCAACTCAAATTTTTCTGCATTCTCGATACACTCTTCAACGTTAATCGACACACGAACGGCTCTCAACCAATCTTGAGTGCAAATCAAAGCTTCCACTACTTTGGGTGTCAAAGAACTTCGAAAGCCATCAAGCACACGACCCGATGTACTAAAAGTCAACTCTGAAGCAACAATAGTTACGGGAATAGACAAAACATCTCGAGCCATCAAAGATAGGATCTTATATTTTGAGCCGCTAGTCTTCCACCATATCAAAAGGTCAAGATCAAGAATATTTTCATTTTTATCTTGAAGATACCGAGTAAGCTCAGATTTGTTATCATCGCACTCTGTTTGATTTGAGTGCATAAAGGTTCTCCAAAAAGCTTGAGGGTCATACTTCTTCTTACCTTTGTTACCACCGACAGCGGTATTAGAACCACTACTACTTGCACTCAAACCTTGGACACCAAAATTTCGATCACTTGAAGCAAGAGAAGATTGCTCATAAAATTCATACAAACGCTCCAATGCGTCCTTCACCTTATAATGCATCTCATTAACTTTCGATTCATCATCATAGCTTTGTTCATATAAGAAATTCACATAATTCAACTTGGCTCTAGGATCCAACACAACCGCAATCAACACTATCATATTCACTTTATCCAAACTCCCATAATATTTGTCAAATTTTTCGTTCATTTTCCTACCCATAGTTTGAAGTTTAGGATCCGAAGCATCCGCCGCCACATTTTTCAGGTATTTATACAAAAAAGCTATCCCATCAAAGTAATCATTTGAAGTAACATATGAACTCCCCGACATCCGATTGATGGCATCATAGAATAGTTTTAGAAATTCCGAAAGAACAATGGCATTTTTTCAATCATCATCTTTAGGAAGATCATCGTTAAGCTCACCTACAGAAGATGGATCGTCTTCTTCCATCCTTTCAAAAGCTTTTCTGAATTTTATGGTGGTGTCTAACATGTGGTAAGTGGAGTTCCATCTAGTGGCAACGTCAAGAATAACTGAATCCCTGTAGGTGATCCTTTCACCCTCAATGCAAGATTGAAATGTGTTGGCCCTCATAGGAGAACTCCTCACATACCTAACCACATTTCGGATACGTGCAATAGATTCACGTACTGTAGTCAAGCCATCTCTAACAATCAAATTTAATATATGAGCGGTGCACCTCATGTGTAAAACACTATCATCTAAGATCAATAACCTTTCTCTTGAAAGTCTTTCCTTCAAATAAGCAATTGCAACATCATTCGAATTAGCATTATCAACGGTGATTGTGGACACCTTTTTTTCTATTCCCCACTCGAAGATGCATTTCTCCACCATTTTCCCAATTTCCCTACCCTTGTGACTATGCATCACAACAAAATTGATAATTCTTTTATGTAACTTTCAATTTTCATCAATAAAACGTGCAGTGAGACACAAATAATTTAGATTTTGAATGGAAGTCCATGTATCAGTTGTGAGTGCGATCCTAGAATTAATCTTACCAAAGTAAGTCTTCAAACAAGTTCTTTCATAGAAATACAGCTTCATGCAATCTCTAGCCACTGTGAAGCGTGATAAATGTTTGAAGATAGGTTGTAACTCAGTGACAAACTCATGAAATCCAACACGCTCAACCATGGAAAAAGGTTGTTCATCAATTATGATGAACCGAGCAAGCATTTCCCTAGAACGTTCTTGATTAAAAGACCATGTCGATAAGCCACTACCAGTACTCGAATCTCCCACTGCCTTACCAGCCACGTCTACATTACGTGGTGCAAAGAATTTCTGCCTCTTATCTACATTGAGAGGAAATTTCTTGCACGTTGTCAAGTGCTTCCTCATTGCGGAAGTACCATTAGCAACACGGTACTTTAACATAGACTTACAATGAAAGCACTTCACCTGATATGTTTTTCCATCCTTATCTTTGATTCTCTCATAATGATTCCAACAATCGGATGTATACTTCTTATCACAAGGAGGAAGACCAAGTACCTCGTTTGTCGCACTCATGGTATGGGATGGCTCTTCTTCATTTTCATTGCCCGACAATTCCAATTCTGTGATCGGAGTCATCTCCTCACTTCCCTTCACCTCCATTGACATGTTATCTTGATAAGTCAAGCAAACAACACTAGCCAAGCAAACAACACGAGAACAAATTACCATCCGCAACATCAAAGAGACCAGCGCACATAATGAAAATCGCAACTATGCACTAAAACTAAGATAGGAAGTTGAAGGAAGAAAAGGGCAACACTGACGGACCTAATTCACCCAGTTCAATCTTAATCTTCAACCCACTCGAAACAGCCGAAAGGGATAGCAGCTCAACTAGAACAGAAATCTGCAATAAAAGATGTCAGATAAACATGAGAGAGAGAGAGAGAGAGAGAGAGAGAGAGAGAGAGAGGAGGGGGGGGGGGGGAGGGAGCTCTACCTCAGGGTTTTTTAGATCTACAAGTGAACAGACACATTCACAAAATGAACCAATTTATAAGGATGCATAACGAGATTGTAATAACTCCAATTCGATTGAAGGGAGAGGAGAAGACTTCGTGTGACAGGGTAAGAAGCAACAGTTAAACCAGATTAGGAAATGAAATCCCCAAAGTGTCACACTTAAAAAGATCACAAAAGGGAAAGGGACTAAAGCGATAAATAGATAATTTATGATATAGATAGAACATGTACCTTTATTAGTAATGCAAGACATACAAAGAGCATCTACAAGGGAACACATACACCTGATTCCGCAGGAAACCAGAAAACTTTCTTAAAAAGAAATCTTGAGGAAGACTAGGATCTGCAAAGCTAAAATATAAAGCACAAAACCCGACCTCAGCAGAGCAGGCCTCTGCAGGCTGTCCCATCGGCCAATGGTAAAGAGGGGTTTGTGTTGCACGTCAACTATGCAATCTGAAGAAGCAGAACCTTTGTCAAATATGCTTCTTCCAAACCGGTTTCTCGTAGCATTCACCTCCAAAGAATTACTCTCCAGCGTCTTCCACAGCCCACTCAACCCCTCTAGTTCCTTTTCTTTCTGATGAACTTTACTCACCAAGGCTTCTGCTTGGGCCTACAATTAACAGAACGACTTCTAATGTCTTCCTCCAGAAAAGTTGCCTGAATTTTTTATGTAGGAAGAAGTGCACATCACTTAAACAATTAAATTACCTGCTTTGCTACCAATTGCTCTAGCAAACTGTGTAGCTGTTTATCCAATATCTTCTCTCTGAGCTGCAAAAGTCAAATATCTTTTATATTAGAGTTGTCAGTTGCTACCATTTATACAGTTCATAGACAACTATGAAGGACTTTAGCAATAACATTAAGAGTAACATATGATGTCCTTGCTTCAGTATTAGTTCTTTCATCGCTGCATATCTCTTTTGCTCAACTCTCAAGCCTCAAATATGTCCCCATCCTCCCCCCCCCCCCCCCCCAAATTCACGCAGCAGGAGAATAAAAGAAGATGACAATGAAGATGAAAGGAAAAAGAATTATCAGTGAACGCAAAGGTAATGATGATTGAAACTGCTCTTGTAACATTTATGTTCAATTAAAACATACAAACCAATGAGCCATATGCCACTATAAGACACCATCAACACTTTAAAATCTTTTGATGCAGGAGCAACAAGAAAACCGAAGAATTCTAATAATACTAAAGCACATCTAATACAAGGAAAGCAGAGCAGATATGACCCAAGGAAGATTGGCAAGGATTTGCAAACCCAAAGGCTTAAGACACACTCAAAATATTTTCCTCCCGAATCAAACAAACGACACTGGCCAAGCAAACAACTAGGAAGTTATGTCTGCAAGCTACAAGTTTCCTCCCGAATCAATGCTCAGAGAAACCTCTACAGTAGCGCAATCGAACGGAATCTGGAAAAAAACACAGAAACAATCAGTTGCTTCCCCGAGATGTTGGATACCGGATGAGTCTGCTCATTGTTTTTTTTTGGAATGACTTATGTACGCTCTCTGGCATAGTAATGTCTACTTTGCGTTCCCAGAGTCCCAATAGACACCCAAACAACATAAAAATTGCAAGTACTATTCTTCAGTTCTGCTCAAATCAGAAATAAATCTCTGTAACTTATGTAGAAGTATTTGTTCTGTGGATTTGGGTCTGGGGTCTGAAACATTCAGAAGTTGAATAATTGAATTCCAACCCTCCTTCCCCCCTATTCCCTCCCCAAATTGCAACCCAAATAAAGAAAAAGAACAAGCATGTTACCAGTTTTTTTTTCAAACTCGGAGGCTGACACGAACCTTGCCCGGAGAGGAACCACGTTTGGCGAGAAGCAACGCCGATCTTGCGGAGAGACGAGAGGAGGAAGAGCCGAGACAGCGAGCTCAAGAGGGTGCGCGTGCGGCGGCGCGTGAGCCCGAACAAAGACGAAGACAAAGGATGTCGCTTGAAGCCGTGAAGCGAAGCCCACCTCCGCCGCAGACGAGCTAGACCGCGGTTGATGAAGACAGAGGAAGAGCCGAGGCGGACGCCGAACAGAGCAAGGAGAGGCGAGAGGGTCTCGTTGAGTCGTGGGTGTGGGGAGTGGGAGAGAGAGCGCAATGGAGGAGCAACCAACTGAGAGGAAATTTGGAAAGAAACTAAAAGTTAGGGTTTTTACTTTTTAGTAGGAGAGAGAGTGCTGGTTTCGGTTCCGGTTCCTATAGAAATCGGGAACCGGAACCGGTGGTCCCTAAAAAATTGGAACCGGGAACCGGAACCTCCCACCCTAGAACCGGGAACCGAACCGGACCCGCCGATTCGGTTTTTCGGTTCCCGATTCTACCCTGGGACCGTGCTCACCCCTAGCTAAGCCTACATGACAAAAGAATACTTCTAACAATCTTGGCTCCGAGTCAAAAGAATGAGATTAGTACAGAGAGATTTTCCTAGACGGATCAAGCCACGTCAGATCCATGCGAGCTTCGTTTGCCTGTCGTTGTCCACGCAAGCCGCCACGTAAGATTTTTGATGGCCTTTTTGGATGGAAGTGTGATGAAGGGTATATTTGTCACATTGGGGGTGCAATTTTAGGGAATTTGGCGACTTCAAAAAAATTGGCGTATCGATAGTACAATGTGCACGGTTTAGAATTTTTCTGTGTAATTGACGCAACGAGGAGGTGCAAAAAGTACATATCCACAGCGGTATTGCAAGGATGATGACAGACGTGCAAATTCTCCTCCCCGAGTGTCGATATAGTATTTGGGCTGGACCGACCATTTTGACCCAATTAATTGATAAGTGAAAGCATTTATTGCCTCTACATCATGGGCTTTATTCAGGGCAATCTTTTGGGCAACTTTGAGCCACAAGGATCCTCATCTCTCGATCCAACCTTTGCTGCTAAATTTTCCCAAGGCATTACTTGTTCTGCAATTCATTACCACGCAAGTACTGGCTATAAGATATGTATGTACAAAGAATATAAAGAAAAAAAAAGAGCTATGGTAAGAATTTCATGAATAATTTTAATGGGAAAAAGTTTTAATTTCCAAAGTGCTGTTGACATACATAATGCGGTATGAGAAAAAAATATAGCATCGATTACCTTGAAAAACCCTGATATATTTGCATTGGGCTTCTTAATGAATGTTTCAGAGACATTCGATAGCAGTATAATTTGATAGCACGACCCGTAATTATGAATCAATTGAAAGTACACGATGAAGAGTTGATCAAGGTCATAAGTTGGTCGATTAATTTAAAGCTTGATCAGAAATTGAAAAGAATGAAACATGAATTGAGATGTGCCCTCTATCTTCTATAGCTAAGCTTACTGTCTTTAAGTTCACGTATATGAGCTGCTATGTTTAGTGCAAGATAAAAGGATAAAATATCTATAAAAATTATCCCCGGCGGGCTTTTTATTTCGTTGTCCCTTTTGGGGTCGAGGGTTTAGGGTTTAGTCCCATTTCTAATCGATGATTGAAATTTTACTTTTTTGGAGTATATAAAACGGTTTGAAAAGTGAATTATAAGCAGTTTTGTATAGTTCATCAAGATATCGCCAATTGATCAAATTTGTGGAGTTGACATCCCCTAAAAGAAGCTAAGCAAAAGTTAATGTCTTTTGGAGGCCGTCTGTACGGCGAAGTTCATAGGCAACTACCATAACATTTTGTAATCGTCCATCTTGTTTCATATTGTCTTAGCCTTTAATAGGAACTGATAACTCTATAAAAATAGAGTTATTTTATCTACTCTAGGCAATAAATAATGCAATATTTGTTAGAATATATTTGGATTTCCTTTTATTTACTTAATTTTTCCTTATTTATGCAGAATATTGAGATATGGAGAAAATAAGAAAAATATGGCAAAAAGAAGGAAATGAATATGCAACCCAGAGAAGAGTTAGAAGGTGGATATCACATTGGGAATTCTGCGATTTATTCCCTAATTTTATACGAAAAAAAAAGCAATTGCCTTGTGAGAGGAGTCTTGGATGTTATCATATAAATAGGATAACTTGGGGGAACATGAAGTTTTTTCTTTGAGATCATTTTTGTTTTTAGTGTTCTGAGAGTTGTTTAAGAATTTTGAAGAGAAGACAAAAGTGGTGACAGAATTCTTGTTCTTTGATTCAAGATGTTTGGTTTAATTTCTATTGTCGTTTCTTCTTCTATTATGTTCTAATTTTCTTTGTTAGAGCTACGATGTAGCCTAACCATGATGATATGAATTTCATGCTTTTTATGCTTTGCAAGTAATTTCATTCATGTGAGTTATATATTATTGTGCTTAATGCGCTTAGGTGACTGGCCACCACTTGAATGATCTGATGTGCATGTTTGAGACTGAGAAGTGATAATATGCAATTGCTCCTTATAATATATAACCATGAATTAAATGTGGATAGAAATATACTATGTTATTTGTGTAGCTTTCGGTGATAAGGTGGTCCAAAAGATTCATTGTAAACCGGTAATATTCACAGATTTTAATGCGCTTATGTTTATTTAAATTCACATAGAAATATAGTGAATTGATAAACTGAGTAGGTTTGCTATACCTAGAGATAGGATAGTAAATAGACTAGGAAATTCCGCTATCACATATTTGATATTGTTCTTGTATGCATTATAATCCGAAATTCATATCTAGTGGTTATGGTGAAATCGGATGCTCTAACATATTTTACCTGATTGATTATCTGCCTTTAGTTTATAAAATTTCGTTTTTAAAAATTGTCAATTTTTATTTGTTCTCAATTATATTTTGATCAGTTAGATAAATTTTAGAATTAGTCCATTTTTAATATTTAATCGGTTTATTATTATCAATCTCTATGGGACGATACTCTTCTCATCATTATATTACTTGTTCAACACGTTCGTTGACACGTGCAGAATTTTACGAACAGGAACATTCTGAGTGATTATAAGGTAGCGACCATTTGAGGCATGACAGGTTAAGTGAATCATCAAATGTGAAATAGATATACAATTATTTCGTGCAACCGATAGATTTGAGCTCAGTGCGTACTAAAATTAGCTTATAGAGCGAGCAATTACTATAAGTGCATATTCGAAATAATTAAAAAGAAAAAAGAAAAATTCAAACACCAACGCTGATTTTCACAAGCAAGTAGTGAAAACCCTAGTCGCTGTTCCTTCCAAAAGTGGTCCTTTCTAGCGAGCAAGCAAGTGATAGGATCCCAAAAAGAACAGAAGAAGAGACATGGAAGCCACCATGAGACTGTCATCGTGAGCTGGCAAATGATTGGCGTCTCTTTCGATTGTTGCGCGTCCCTCTGTCACCACCGACACTCGAGCTGAACGGTTCATTACACGACCAATTGGAGAACCAGAAGCAGCATTTGGTCGTTGGAATATCACAGCATCCATTGGCAAGTATCCAGTCCAAATCACAACAGTGATCATACATCTTTGGCCTCTGTCTCCTTTACTCTACAAGAACGAAAAAACAGCATGAGTGTAGAGATTCGATTATGTGGATGCTTATAGAACACTCTATACGTTTCATGAACCGGTTAAGTCCGAGTCTTTGCTAGGTACATGAGGCCCTCACCCAGAATAGTTTGCACGTAATTAGCGGGGTTTGAAATGGGCGACCTTTGGTTCCAAGTCACTATTCGACACATGTTTCTCTAGGAGTTTTTTTTTTAAGAAATATGAAACAGGGGAATACCGTACTAATTGCATAGCACAGTCGAAATCGAATTCCAAATCAAAGTTGATGGGTTTGTTGTGCTTTCTATCGCTATCTCGAATTATACTTATAGAAGCATGATCAATGTGTATTTGCCATTTCGAACCACGAGAGTATATAGTAGGTTTATGTTCTACTATCACGTTATAGGGGTAGTGCCACTAAAGTATTCATTAAAATCACAGACGGAAAAATGCTAACATGCACAAGAACATCATGAAATAGCCATTGATTGTCCATATTAGTGTTAAATGTGGGCATTTGAGATGATGCCACATCAATAGAGACATATTGCAAGGTGAAATTATCTGAGTAAGCAAGTCACATCAGTAAAATCACATAACATGACAATTTATTTAATGGAGGCCTCACATTAAATCAAATTTGAAAAGTTGTAATACTTATATGAATAAAAAAAAAGTTGAAGTACTCGATTGTGAAACATGAAAAATTTATGCACTGCGGTGTCAATACCCCTATATTATATCCTAATTGCCTCGAAATTGTGCTGAGATAAAGCTCTCAAAAGGAATACCGAGATGAGTATGGGTCTTTGGCTTCATTATCACGTTATCAACATCTTCTCACCTTCGTGTGGGATTGGAGTTTTATGTGTATAGTTTGTTGAATTTACATGTTCAGACTGGAGGATATGCAAAAAATTGATTTATTAGGTGATATGATAAAATGGTAAGTAGATATTCAAAATAACGCTATGCTCTACGAAAGTACTCCGACTAAACTTATGATAGTGGTCCCATGTTAAACTCGTACTTAATTAGTAGATAACTATTACCTACTTTGGCTAACTTTCTTAGTTACCTACACTTAGAAAACCCTACTCTCAAACAACGATTCTTGATATTGTTACTTGATTATTAAGTACATAATCATAAAATAGGGAAGTAATAACTTGGATATATTCACTCTAATTACATAGCAACTCTGTCCATTTAACTCACTCAACTAACCAAAGAATAGAAGTAATAAACATTGGCCAATCCCACAAAACGCACTGCATATCTCTGGATCTTTTCACTTTCTCCTGGCGCTTGCATGACTGCGTCGTCGTCGTCGTCGAGATTTCATGGATAATTTATAGTTGTCGTACGTACGTACGAACCTTGAGTAATCATTTGATAGTTTGGGGGAGACCCACGTTGTCGGATCGAACAATCCTTCGGATCTCGGACCTAACCTTGTACAGAACATGTCTCCAGCTTCCTCTGTTCTGGAAGCCGCCGAGGACCCTGATTTCTTCCTCGTTCATCTCCAGATCTTGGGCGAAGACTGGCTTTCTCGACGTGATCCAAGACCAACCCCACTCCCACCACTTCCTGATCGAATTGCCTGTGCCATGTTCAAGTCCGGATCGATGCGAGTCAGTGCATTGTATCGACACCACAGAGTTATTTCTATAGAAGAAAAACTTTCGATTCGCCATGTTTTCACTGTTTATACAAAAGTTATTTCGTTGCGGTACTAATGCATCACTTCATTGGCCTTGAAACATGCTTGTGTTCTCTATAAAATCGCCAGTTCTAACACCAAACTCTCTAATTTCACGCATGCTAACAGGTAATAACCAATCCAGTTGAATCCTTCCTATTTTTTCAATGCTTCCATCGTGTGAGCATTCCTACCATTCAATTCAAGCGGCGAATATCATACACCTAACGCAAAAATCTAGATCTCAGCTAACTGTTTCGGGATCGTACGAACATTGCTTGTGCCGTGTCATTATCGGAGTCTCTCTATGTATTTTGTGTCCAACCGTGTCGCGTATGCGGTCCTGTGCCGAGCTATAACCCAGGTCAAGTTCTTTATATTGATAATGCTAAGAGGACTTAGTTGGACTTAACCTGCTTGGTCTCCAATGGAGGACATGGACTTGGATCTGCGGAATGGCCAGGAAGGAGCTGAAGGATAAGAGTTGGGTTGAATCCTGAGAGAAAGAGAAGACATTATCCTCCTCCTCAAGCCGCCGCCGCTGCCGCCATCCCCACCAGCTTGCTCCTCATGAGTGGTGGAGCGTGGTTGTGAGAGTGGAAGGTCACGGTGGGCTTGGTTTGGGAGGATCCTGGGAATTATGGAGGTGCTCTTTTGGATGCTCTCGACTATGGAGCTCATCGTTGTGCCTCTACAGCAATGAGAAAGTGAAGAATATGGAGAGAGAGAGAGAGAGAGAGAGAGAGAGAGAGAGAGAGAGAGAGATACTGGTGAGATGTAGTGTTCGCAGCTTCATCCATCACAAGGCTGTTTTTAATGGTATGTGGGGGAGGTGGATGACCGATTGGTGCGGGGTCAATACAAGATTTCTTATTTTCATATATATTATAGGGCAGGAGCACAAAATCTTCTTTAGTTTGAGGCTAAATAGTCCAACATTTGTTTAGTTTGAGACATTTTTATCCCAGGGACTTTGTTTTATCGGATACCCGGTCTCTGTAATTTCTCGTTTATACAGCAAGCGGGTCTCAATGAATTATATGAGTTCATTTTATCGGCTTTGCCTGTAAAGATCTCCTTCTAACCTTGGATAGCCGTTTGTCCGGACTAACCTGTGTAAAGAGAACTTGTCTTCGAGTTTTTTACATGTGAGACTTTATGGGACTATTGCTAACTGTTTTAAAAGCTTTAGACTCGCTTAATCTCAGGACCTCCTCTTCTAATACCATATGAGATTTTATGAAACCACTGTCAACTGTTTTAAAAGCTTAACCCGTTAAATAAAGGCGTGATTTAATATTTAATTACGAAATAAAGAGTACTCAGTAATGTTTGATACATGAAATATCTACCTGCAAAAAGGTCGTGGAATGAGCATTTCTTTTTAGACTTTGCCTTGCCATTGCCATGTGTTTGCTCTTTGGACAAGATGGACAACCTTATTATTATCATTTTCTGTTTGGAACATGTGAAGAACGTGGGCATAGAGTGAGAAGAGAGGTCCAATTCCTAGTCGATTGTGAAGTGTGGAATACACGCACATCCCTCGCGCTCTCTAATTCAATGACTTGGGTGGAATCCGAATACTGCGATTAGGGATATTCCGAATTGTTAGGTAAGGAAGAGCTGGGGATGGTTTGTCCAAGGCAGAGTCGGTGACGAGTTGATTTGATCAAGTCCGAGTCCGTCGATCAGTAAGAGAATCCTATAGGTACAGTAATCGATCATAGTCACCTGCAAACGAATCTTGTGCTTTAGGAAGTAGGAACGGACGTATCCACGCGTTACTAGAACAATCTGAGTTAGGAAGTGAGGAATGCGCCGTAAATTGTTCCAAGACTATTGATGGCATCGAGTACCTTAGTGCCTCGAACCGCAATAGATCAAGCTCGGTCGAGCTTGAATTGGGTATCAGATCTTGTTTATTGAGGAAAGTCAACCTTGTGAAAAACATGTTAAAGGTGCAACAGCCCTTTGATCTAGGGTCCCCTGAGGTCCTCTCCAGTACTTCTAAACTCTTGCCATATGTCGATGTTGATCTACCATCATCGGCAAAGATTGCTTAAAGACCGAAGAAATGCAACAGAAATGACAATCATAACCAAAATGGACGAACTAAAAAGCAATGATGATAGACTTTAATCGTGTGCAAATTATTTCCTTTGTAGTGTACATAAAGCATGCTTAATGCCATGCGCACGTGCTAGAACATACATCCATGACTTTGAATGAGGATTCTGTCAGAAGATGTCCGTCCATACATAGTACAGGATGGTTTCATGCCTCTGCAGTTTTCAGTGAGAATCCTCCTGAAGGAAGCATATTCTTCAGGCAAGAGCTTGGATCAAATAATTCATAGATATAACGTGATTTGGCGAATGGTGCAGAAAGAAATCTCCCATCAACCCGATATGTCACTGTACTTGAAGACGCAATCATAAAGCCGTCCTCCAAGAAACTGAGCAACCTCTGGATGTTTCACCTGTTGAATAATATTTGGCAGCGATTACACCAGCCGATAATCAACGAAACAGAACTTGTAAATTGAAAGCAGAAGGATCAACTCAAGCACCATTGCAATTTTGAGAGAATCGCATTTAAACTGCGCATATAGGTTAGTCTCTATCCCCCGGCCCTGCCAAAAGGAATGCCAGTCATAAGTGAGCAAACATCATATAATTTGACATTTCAAGCAATCATTAGGCATGCCTTAATAAACCTCTATGCCAATACCTCTTCTTTTGCATCAAATAGTCGATCTAGATTCTTGAAGCTAGTACTCTAAAGATCGATAAAGGAGCATATCATGCATTATGAGCAGGTGAAACCAGAAAAATGAATTTATCCATTGAATTTGAAGCAAGATATGACCAAAAGAATGTCTATTCCAGTGCAAGGGAAGTAGGAAGTCCAAGAATCAGGACACAATAGACTTATACATTGAAGAGGTAGTTGTGGCTCTCCAAATGTCTATTCCAGCAAGAAAAGGATGAATATCCAACAATCAGAACACAAAAAAATTATGCATCATTAAGGTGGTTTTGGCTCTCAATATATGCATCTATTACGCAAGGCAGAAAGTCCAAGAATGAGGGGGCGAAAAGGACATGCAGCTAATGTTGCACACACACAGCATATGAGATTGTGAGCATTAAAAGGAAATGCAAGGGTACTGTTAAGAACAATCACAAAACTAAGTTGTACTTATATCTCCAGATCTTTTATTCAGGTTCCCTTAAAATTGTCTAAACATGTCAGTCTCTTTTAGCATTCAACCAGCAGAATTATACTCCTGAATCTGCGCTGTATCGAGAAATCTGTGTACACGTATGAATCAGTTTTCATGCATCTCAATTACAAAAGAAAAAAAAATTACAAAAGAAACAAACAAATTTTAACAACCATTCCAAATTTCCATGATGGATAGCAATTAGACAATAATGCATTCTCATCTGCCCCACAATCTCAAAGGCAACTCCACTGAAAAAGAACTTAAATGTGCCACAAATCTGCTTGCATTTTACCAGTCCAAACTTACCATTCCTTCCATAATAACTAAATCTGCGTCAGCCGCCAGAAAGGCTAGCTCTTGTGATACCTGTGAAAGATCAATAACCTACAAAAAATTGAAGAGAAAGACTGTTCATGATATGGAGTTCACTATATTTATCAATCAACAGGAAAGCAAAATATGAGGGTAGGTTAACAACAGCACAGACTCGAATTTCTTACAGGCAAATCATTCCCAGAATTAGCAATCAAGAGGTTTGAAGCATCAACACCCATTAACTTCCCATCCTCATCCTTCAGCTGGTTATTGGAACAATGTCAGGACCAATATGGTATATTCACATCACATTTAAAAATATTTCTACTCATACCTTAGATATAATCTCAATTAGTTCAGGGTAGGTGACATCGTTAATAGATGGCAAGTCATTAGCAGCAAGCACAACCTGGAAAGCGCGAGAGAAGGTTAGGCAACCACAAGGTAAGAATAGACAGAAGTATATCTGAATCTACCATCCAAGAGTTAAGAAAACTGGGAAACACACCTAATTAAACTCCTCTTTTTTTCTTTTTCTTTTTCTGTTGGCGAGGACTCCTTTCTTTTTCTTTTTTTCTATCAATGATATATCTAATGAACTGGCATAAGTAACAAAGTCAAAAAAAATTTAGGCCTACCCAAAGCTAAAATCAATTTTTGTCAATTACTCAACTCTGGCAATCGGGACAATGATAATTGTTAGCTGGAACAGAGATCCAAAAAGTTGCCAAGTCACAAAAAACGCCCAAAATTCACATGACAAATTACAGTTGCATCAAACCCAGAAATGCTTAATTATGATATACTAGTGAGATCTGATTGCAAATTTTGTAATCTTTGGCACGGTCAATGAAGGTGGGGGCAGGGATAAATTTTAACAACCGTAGTCAAACATCATCTTTCAGTAGCACAGACTGAAGCAGTCAAAGCACTGAAATATACCATGCAGTCATTAGTGCCCAGAAACTGAGAGCAGTATGACAATATCACACCAACAAAGTAATCTCACTATCACTGTACTAGTAACAGGGTACACATCCATTCAGTAAACAATAAATGCAAGTCCCTAGACAACACAAATTAGACACAAACATAATACCCAAAACATTGTTTACCAATATTTATGTTGAAAATGCAAATAAATTTCCCCATAAACAACAAGTTCTATTTGTCTCATTGGTGATGCTCATTCTCTCTTAATTTCTCATGCAAAATTCGGCAGCAAATAATGGAAGATATCCCACACGTGATGCACGAATTACTATCCCAAAAAAATATGGAAGACTGGCCAACCTCTTGCACCAGAGAACTTAAATGTGAAAGATACACTATACTGATATCTAGTACTGCATATTGTGGATAGAGTAATCACTATGACCGGTAAAAGATACACTATACCGAAATCTAGTACTGCATATTGTGGCTAGAGTAATCACTATGACCACTTTCTAATTAAAAGAAATAAACAGGAAAGTAAACCTGAGTCCCACGACGAAGTAATTCTCTGGCAAACGGTAAAATACCCAAAATGATATCTGCACCAGAGTTATCAACAAATATGATAGCCTGTCATAAAGGATCTGGTCAGGAAGGAAAGTACAAATTTTGCTGTGAACCCAAAAAGTGCATAAAGAGCAAATAATGTTAGAAAAGTTGTACAAGCTTGCCTTCTTCCAGGATTTTTTGCTCCACTTCAATTTTAAAGTGTCTAAATCATCAATAACCCAAGGTCGTGGGAGAAGATTCTGGCAACTAGCCAAAAAGGACATCCCATCCCTGGAGAAAACCTCTGCGAGCTTCAAAAATTACAAACGAAAAGCGAGGTTAAGCATCACAATTCGTAAGAAGCATCTCTTCGGGCTCACCATTTTGATAATAAATATATCCATCCAAATGTTCACATTCTAATGTGTTTGACAGACAAGAAGTTCATGATTATACAGTTCCACTAGACTTATGGCCTGTGCTACACAGGGGAGAAAAACTAATTTAAATTACACTACATAACATATTCTAATGTCACATGATTTATCGAAATCAATTTGGAGATAGATAATTTATAAAAAGAAAGTGGATGAATTTAAGTTCATATAATGTAAAACAAATTTAACATGACACAACATGAAGGAAGTAAAAGAGATTAATTTGGAGTTAGATAAATTATGGGAGTTTTGTAGAATATGTAGTCTGTCCTATCATTTCATGAAGCTATAGTTCGACTGACTTGAAAATAATTTTCTATTTCCAAATTCAAGATTATCTTCTAATCTTTCTTGTCTTATCTTATAATTTTCTGTTCAAAGAAAATGATGTTAATGTAGAAAAATATTTTCACATTAGGTTAATATTGTGTATATACAGATTATTCATGCGTTGTGTTGAAAATTTTCATGCATTGTGATTGTTACAATGATATCTAGATATTTTTCAGTTTTTTTTAATTTTAATCAATATTATTTTATCGAGAATAAATTATTTTTATAAATTAAAAAAAAAAAAAAAAAAAGTCAAAACTATGTGAGTTGGAGTGGTATCCACATAATATAAGTTTTTTTTATAAGTCAGTTATTTCTGGAAAATGAAAAGGGAAAAAGAAACAAAAAGATAAAAGCATAGGGAAGTGATGGTGGCAACCATCAAATGGGCCCCATATCAACTTTCCACAAGGCCCTCCATGGAGCGCCAAAATTCTATAATGGTATTAAATTATGGCACTCATAAAATTGCAAAACTACAAAGTAATTTGCGGCAGTTTTCATGTGGGTGCTCCACAAAAAGCCAAATGGCAATTGCAGTATAATTGCAAAAGTAGAAGACGACCGAACATACGAACCTGAGCAGATCCAAGATCAAAGATGTTTCCTGCAAATATTCCTTTAACTAGATTTTCCAGTCGCCTGCCCTCATCTTCAATTGCATCATTAAGATTAACTACATCACTGAAAAGGGATATGGCTTTTGCATTCTCTTCATCCTGTCATGCTCAATGACAAATTCACAAAAAGGGGAAGAGATCAGTACGGAACGTAGGGAGGAAAAGAATAGCACCCACGATGTCCAAGTATCCAAGTAGGCCACAACACTTATCTTGATCATGAATTTTCAACTTAAAGCTATTTTATCTTTTCTCCCCTTTATCAACAAGGTCTCCTAACTGAAAATGCCAAACACTTTGCTAGGCTTTCACCACAAGATAATGGTATAATCTTTCCATGCTGAATATTGTCCGTGGAGTTTGTACAGAAGACAGAAAAATGTGTGCAATAATTACCTTAACTTTTTTGAATATGTCTCGAAAACCCAACTCTCGAAGAACCTGCTCTCTTAGTCTGCACAGAAGCTGTAGGAACCCCATATAAAACAAATCACAAGGTCACAAAGAGGTAATAGAGCCTCCACATAACCTTGGTATTCTCTAGCTTATGCTTAAGGTTCAGATGTGATATTCAACTTACAATGCAATCAGGGGGCCCACCATGACTTTCTGGATCTTTCTTAAGGTCCTCTAATATTGCACCATACCTTCATGTATCATGATTGGACACACTTTAATCAGAAGATATTATATAAAACTGGTCATCTTCTTATTAATTAAAAAAATTTTGGTGGATTTTGTTCATCAATTTAGGCAATGAAATTTCTTTTCCTAATCCTAAAGAAGAAACTTGAGAAGTGCATTATCATGATGAGATATAATTTCAACATCCCATGATTCCAATTCTCTCTCTCTAACTCCCTTTCACTTTCCCCACTTTGCAACTCTTCTTCTCCCTCATCCAACCAGGTTCCCCCTTCTATTTGGCACACACACACATGTGCATGCTCTTACTCTAGGGTGTGTGTGTCTATGGGTGCACGCAACAGTGCCCATGCGCATTTGTGGGAAGAGAACATGGTCGTCAAAACTTGAACTTCTAGAGTCTCATAATTCACCACTAAAGGACAATGTACACCACAACATTTAATAGTTTGACAGATCCACAACATTTAAGCAGCAGTTGCACAAGGGAAGCACTTCACAAAGAACACATACTGAGAAAACCATGCCGATGGATGAGACATTAAATCTTTTGAATCAGGTGATATAGCATGTAAGGATGTTATTACATCAACAACAGAGTTTTGAGTCTTCAAAAAGGTTACGCTAAAGCATCTTTAGGAAATTGCATGAGCCTGCAACTGTCCTAAATACTATATAAGCATCTTCCATATCATTTTGATTTAATACCTCCGACGGCTATGACAGAAAATAAGCCATAGGAGGACCCAGAACTACCAAGAAACAGGACATATAAATGTCTCCAGGAATGCCTAATTTCGACAAATACACACTTTGGCATTGTTATATCCAACTATGTAAATCCATACATGGAACACGATTACGAAGAAGATTATACATCGAGACCAAGTCGGGCGGTGCTGGTTATGTAAGGCAGGAGCAGCAAAAGAAACTAGGAGGTGTGGGGGAGAAGTAATATCACAGCCCACTCCTTCGCGGGTAGTGATTACTAGCTTCGGTTGAGACCTTATTTTGAAATCACGGTCCACGTCTACCAGACCATGAAGCTATATCACATTCTACCACAAGCAGATTAATCCACGGCTGCACTTTTCCAATGAAATGAAGCAGGGAAAAAGCAAAAACAAATGTACCTTTCAGCGAATTTTTGAGCTCTAACAGGGGCATCAGGGACGGTAGGATCGCTCTCCGCCCGATTCCTGCAAAACCCATATCAAGCTCAATAGCACATCTCATTCCACGACAAAAGCTCCCCCTGATTACTTCACAGCTCCTATTCAACTTTAAATTGGAATAATTCAACATCCTCATCTCAGCAGAACAAGACATTTCGCTTCACGCTTTCAACCGATTCATCGAAGCGATTGTTTTCCAAAAATCCGACCGCGACCCACTCCACAAAATCTACACTTGCCGCCATCTAAAACTGTTTCAGCTGATTCCAACCTCCGATTGCAACAAAAGGCCCAAAAAACTCAGTGCCTACGAACTCATCCGCGCCGCGCGAACGTAGCGAACAGCAAACGCGGCGCGCCCTTTACCTGAAGGAGGGGATGGAGTTGCGGAAGAGATCGATCCAGGCGAGCTCGGTCGGGGTGGGCCGCTTCGGGTGGTCGGAGGGGAACCGGTACGGGATGGTGCAGGCCCTGTAGTTCGACTCGATCGGCGTCTGCAGCAACGGGAACGGCACCATCTCCGACGCGCTCTCCATCGCTCCTCGCTCTCTTCGCCGGCCCGATTCGATCCCGGCGGTCGGTTCGCGGCGGTCGCGGGTACGGATCCGACGACGGAGCGGCGGAAAGACGTCGGAAGCTCGAAGCACTTCTTTGCTTGTTCGCGGCGGATCCTTGTCCGTCCTGCTCCTCCCGCTGGTTCGCGGCGGAAAGACGTCGGAAGCTCGAAGCACTTCTATTTTTATTTTTTTGGGTCTTTCCTTCTAATTCACTTTTTAGTTAATTAAGGAAATGGAAAGTGATTAACGATTTTTGTAACGTTTAGCCAAAATAAATTAATAAATAAAACTTTTTGATAGCTTTTTCTATTGACAGCGCACAAAAAAAAAACATTCATTTATATCGAAAAAACATAATTAAAAAAAGGGGTCTGATTGCAAAACATCGATTTTATAGAGATTTACAATGTGAGGGGCGGCTCGGATCCCATATATGATCTAATGGTTGTGATGGGCTCGGATCGGTGGACCGCTAGGCACATGGCGGCGGGATTTGAGTGCCGATGTACTTGGCTTTCACGTTCTTGCATGACGAAGTCACGTTCCTCTGTGTCTTCCCATCCAGGAGATCCAAGTGCACATCTTGGAGGTAAATGTCCTGGCATGGAAACCCTCTGCTGCATTCCAGCGCCACCGCCACCGGCGACGACGAAGTCCCCCGTATGTTCTTGAAATAGATGTCGCTCAGCTTGACCCGCGACGGTTCCTGCAAGAAAGAAATCGCCGAGGAAAGTTAAAGGACAAGATCGAGTGTGTGATGGGGTGTCGATTCGAGTTGTTTCGGTTTTCTCAGGTTGTGGTCTTTTAGTTCCTAGTACTCAGTACTTACCTTGAACGAGCAAGAGGCGAACGGACAGTAGGTCTGGTCGATGATGATCGGGTTCGTCACGTTGTTCATCCTTATGTTCTCAAAGGTCATGTTGGTGGCGATGCTGCTGTCGGGGGAGTCGGGCCACGTCTTGATCCGAATGCCATTGGCTGTCCCAGTCATGTTGCAGTCTTGCACCAAGACTCCGCTCACGTTGCCTTCGTGCCGATATCTTCCCAGACTTCCCACGCTACGATCGCGGGAAAACGGGGAAAAGAAAGGTAAGTTAGCCATATCTACGATTCACCGAAACGAAACTTCGACCACTTGAAACGGCCCCCGACACCATAAGACTTGAGATGATTGTTACCTGATTCCATGGCCCGGTCCGCAGTCGATATTTGTTATCCTGACCAGAGAATTGCCTTGTCCGATAGAAATGCAGTCGTCGCCGGTCCTGATACGGGACTTGGAGATATAGACCCCCGAGCTTCGCTCGATATGGATGCCATCCGTGTTCGGGCTATCCGCTGGTGCAGAAATCCTGATCTTGCTGCCTCTGAAGCCGTCGCACTCCACCAGAGCAATGTGAAAGGACTTGCTGTTTAGGGACGTTACGCCGCGGACGCTGGTCTTGTTCATGGAGATAAACTTTATGTTCTAGAACAAGAAAGTGCTGTCTTTGTTAGGGCATTCCTGAAATCTTTGTTTCTGCATATTTCTTTGGCAAGTAAAAACACACAATTCAGGCAAAAGAGAGACTTCAGATGCAACTGCGCATCACAATGCCCGAGATCCGGCTTAGTTGTTTTTTCCGCCTCATAGCATATATGCACGAATCGAATGGTCATAACAACTAAGATTTATGCATGTATCTTGGGCTATGAAGCATACAGTTGGAAGGAGCTTGCAATCAAAATCGACGAGGCAGTTGTTGTGCAGCCACGCCTTTGCGCCTCGACCATCGAACAGTCCTCCTCCGGTTAAACTTAGCCCTTCAACCCATCCGAACTCGACCCAGCCGGCATCCGATCCGTACTGCGACAAGTTTGTCGAAGCCTTCAGGTGACCCTGCACTTTGATCTCTATTAATGCCGCCACAGAAGGCAAGTATCATAAATAACAGGTAATCCTATGAAGTATGTGTGATTTAGCCGAGTAGAATTTGAACTCTTGCCTTCACGGTGACCGTTAGCGAGGACACGTTGGTACAAGGACCGGCGAACCTTACGGGGCCGAGCAAGTACGTGCCTTTAGGTATCAGAAGATTTACTCTGCCGGTCAATCCGCACGCCTCATTCCATGCTGCCTCAAATGCCTGCAGTAAGAACACGAGTTCCTGAGCAGAGCTGGAGTTGTGTGTCTGTGTTGTTGCCGGTCGCTATCCCCAATTAAACATCAAGATATCCTGACCGAAGTAGGCGAGAGCATAACCGAAGTAGAAACGGCTCCCGTTGGAGACAGCCCGGCGAGAAAACTTTACGTAATCGATGTGAACCGGCGGCATCTCTCATCTCTCAAACATTCTTTCCTCGGATTCCGTAATTCCTCAGGATATGCAAAAGCACATGATTGTTCTTCCGTAAAGGCAAACAAAATCAGCTTCTAAGTCGCACTTAAAGTTTGGAACTTTATAGTCATCTAAAACTACGCTGACTATCTAGCTATGATCTTGATTTCTTTATTCATCTTTCATACAGAGAGAGATGGAGGAAGGTAGCGAAGAGGAAAAACCTTGCGGTCGTCGGTCCGGCCATCGGCGAGGGCGCCGAATCTCTTAACATCGAAAACAGCCGAACGGACCCTTCTCTTCCGATCCAAAGGACTTGCCCTATCTGCTCTCACGTCTCCAACACCTGAAGCCGAAACTGAACCGCCACCTGCCATCAAAGCTCCTCCTCTTCCTTCAACGACACCGCCCAAGAACAGCACCGCCACCGCGAACAGCGAGAGCCGCAACCTTACACCATTCACAAGCCTCATCGCTCATCACAACTTCCACTAATCAGGACTGCAACAGCTCCTCTTTCTCGCCCCTCTCGTGGTGGTGTGCGTGCGATTTGGTCAGCAAAACTGCGAGAAACCTTCTGCTGAAAGTGAAAAGGTGAGTGTTCCCGAAGCAAACAAGTCCTCCTGGGATTTTGCTGAGTCGCCGTGAGTAGTAACTGTCGCGAACTGCCAGCCCCACTACAATCTACGGTTACTGGCTCATTGTCGTGTGACATAGACAAGCTTGACCATCTTTTGCACATTTCACAAACCAAAAAAAACCAAAGAAAAAAACCACTTAGGAATCGCATTAATAAGCTTGACCATCTTATTGGGTGCTCATGTATCCTTTGAATGCCTGTTATTTTACATCTTCGCTTCCGGGGCTATCGCTGCTAAGTAGTCGGGATGCGCGTCAATCGGTTGCGCCGCCCCGCCGTTATTGTATTAGTTCCATTAGTGAAATCAGCGTATTTTCTCAAGTATCCTAAGGACCATATGTATGGGACAAAGACAGAAAGATTGCCATTCGTGGAGTGTCCCATGTTTGCTCTTCTAGATTCACAAGATCTTGGCCAGACTTCTGCTAGAAAAGGAAGGGAAGTCGAATGAGGAATTCCATGTTACTAAATACGGCAAAGAAATTATCTTAGTAAAGAGTTCTTTTTTTTTTCTTTTAGAAAAACGAAAATATAAAGAAAAAATATTTCTATTGTATGTCATGATTCATGTCATACAATTTGATCAGGAGGACTTCAAGTGAAAATAGGTTGGGTTAAAATCACGAAAAACCACAAATCTGTATACATGTGACAAATTTACCCCAAATTAGTACACCTATGATAGATTTACCATAAACTAATTTTTTAACCATCAAAAACCCCAAACAGATATATTTATGACAAATTTACCCTTCGTTAAATTTGATTAATATTACGAAAAACCACAAAATGGTACACCCCGTGACAGACGGGGGGGTAAAACTTCGAACTGGTACATCCGTCAACCACCACGTATCATTTAACTCAGAAATTTGACGGTAAAATTTAACGGAAACTAACGAATGGTAAAATTGTCACAGGTGTACCAATTTTGGGATTTTCCGTGGCAAAAAAAATTAGTTTTGGATAAATTTGCCACAAGTGTACCAGTTTAGGGTTTTCCGTGGTATTAACCCAAATAGGTTTTAGGGGGTAAAAGTGCATTTAATCGGTTTTTGGGGAAAGAAGGTTAAAACAAAGAAAAAAAGAAAGAGAAGAGAGAGGGTGTTTCCTAAAACGAAATAAATCACTAAAATTAAGGAAAGAAGACTGTTAGGGAAATAAATCCCCCAAAGCGATAAGTCCTTATTGAGTATCAACAACCCAAAAACTCCTTTCGGATGTAGTTTCAAATACCCAAAAAAATTAAAATGAAATAAACCAATCTCTCCTCCCCAAATTTGAACTCTCTTTACTAACCTTCCCAATAAAAAAAAAAATCACTTGGCCTTGATTGAAAATTCTTGTTCTTTGGCCAAACCCCATGACTCGTTGCACCATGGCTTAGCACACTCCCACAGCCCCCAATCACAACGAAGATCATTGCACAATCCTCAACGTGGAGATACAAGATCCTCTGCGTTTCCCTTCTTCTCCTTCTTCTTAGTTGGAGCAACATCAAGATCAAGACCAAGATCGAAATCAAGATCAAGATCAAGAACGTCTTTGAGAGGAGCAGCTCCCAATGGAAGACAAGCGAACCACGATACCCTCGAGCATGAGGAAGCTGGCCCTGTGGTACTCGAGAAACTTCAAGCCCTTGTTCAGCCACAAGCAGCTGGAGCCGATCATGTCCACCCTCGGCTTCACCGCCCTCCCGCCGGCCTCGCCGAGCTTCGACGGCGGCATTACCTGGAGAGAGTACGTGTTCGCCGCCGGGGCGCACAGCCTCCCGCGGCCGAGGCTGCCGTACCCGAGGATCGACGGCCTCCACAACCACACCTACCAGGCTTTCCTAGAGGCGGTCAACTTCCATCTCCGGATGTACGACATCTCGACCGTTTTTCATGTTAGGTACGGCTACGAGCTTTCTCTCATATCCTCTGTGCAATATATATGGACGCGCGATTTGAAGTAATGTTTCCGCGCCAATGCGCGCCATTCAGGTGATTCGGGTATATGCGTTACGTCGTGATATTAAGTAGGTACGTCATATTCCTTATGCGGCCCGCTTTGTTAATGCGATGCCGTAGCAAATAAGGTGGATTTTACAATCTTTTCTCTTCAAAGTCCGCAAAAATCAGTTTAGGCAGATAATAATTTTTACCAAACTTGAAAATCGTCTTTTCAAGTTTCACAATTTCAGTTCATGAGGACGAGTTCTCCAAGTCAAATTTTTTTTTTTTCTGGTCGGATTTCTGCAAGTCAGTTTAGGCAGATGATAATGCTCACCAAAATTGCAAATTCAATCTCACTTTTCAAAATTCAATTTTCAGCTAATTCAGTACAATGGTGTTAGCTTGGATTGTGTTTACATACTTGCCGGTGGAAGAAAATTCTGGAAAATATGAAATTTCTTCCACTAAATATCATAAATGTGGATCCCATAATTATTAGGGTTGTTGATACGGGCCAAGTCCTAGCAATTAATGCACTTACTAGTTTGAGTAGATAACAGAATCTGAATTAATAAACTATTTAATGCAATGTAGAGACGATCACCGACAAGGAGTATTTTGTAGTTATCTTAAATTCTTTTCATCTTAATGAAACAGGAAATTATTTCTGATTAAATTCTTGGTAGTTTGACTGGTTGGGAACCCGGTCCGGTTCCACATATCAGGGTATGTAATAGGTTTCAGATTCTAAAAATTGGGGAACCGTTTTCGTCAGGTAAATTCCAGGTTTCACATGAAACTTAAAACTTGGAACTTGCAACTAGCGTTTGTATTTTTCTTGTTTTACATCTTCATGCAAAATCATGTGATATTCTATGGCTCCGATGAGGAGTGTGTAATTTGGAATCACTAGTCTGAATTTTAATTTATGACGATATTCATAACGTAAACTTTTACTTTGTTAATGTTTCACATTTTCGTGTGTCTAAATATGAGTTGTAGTCAATGAATTGTAGCAGCAAATAGTGGTTCTTAGAGATAATGATTCACTATAATTATTCAATTAAGAATAAAGGTAGAACCGGGATAGACTTTGGAATCGAATTTGGAGCCCAGGTTTCAAAGTATGCAGGGTAGGTTCCTAAGTTTCAAAAATTTAGGAACCGATTCTTACAGGTAGGTTCCAAGTCCTAAGTTCCAAGTTCCAAGTAGACCTAAACCGACTTTGGAACCGCTCAATTCTATTTATTACATGGAACCTGAACCGACCTTGAAACCGCTCAATTTACTTATTACATAGTCAACTTTGAATCTCAGGTTTTTATTTGAAATTTTCCGGAGTACCAACAATTGTAGAATTGATTACTCTGCTTTTTTTTTTTTAATCTTATGTATATTTCATGATATACAGGGGCATGCCCATGAACCGAGTTGATCTCTATAGGAAGTGGCATGCTCTGGAGGAGGACGAGCAGGTTTATGTATACAGAGAAGGGACATTGGATCAAGCAGCGCACAAGCTCTATTCCGATTCCGAGGGCAAAAGTAGCAAAGACGGCCTTTTCGACTTCGCCTCCCTCGCCATTCGCAACAAGGGCGGCGAGTCCGAGGTCGGCCAGGTCGTACCCTTGGAAGACATCATAGTATCGCCCGATGAGTCCGAGCCCTTCTAAACCATGTCGTCCGTGTTCTTTTAATCATTCATGTACAATCTATCCTTTGTTGTGTAATAACATCCTCAAGTAAGAACTTCCTTTTTGAAGTCGGCATATGTTGGCGCTAACTCATGGTAAGCGGCTATGAAATCGACTTGTGCTGTACGTCACGGACATATGTTACCCGTTCAGAGATCGTGACATTACGGGACAGTCTATTCCCTTAAAAGGATCACGCTTTTTCCACCTCATTTGTGAGTACAGAGACCTTCTACCACTTGAGTGCAGAAATCCTTTACCACTTTGGGGGTTCCGATTAGCATAACGTTAAAATATAAGATTTTTCAACTACAATTCTACCCACGCGATGAAGACTAAGGTCGAATGTAGGGCTCACTCCTCTCAAACAACGTTTTTTTCCCTCTAGGGCCACTTCTTCCAACCCCTTATATGTTCATATTTACTGAATGTTTGTCTTCTTCTAAACTTATTCATTGTAATATGTGCAAGCATTAATCATACAGCGGAGTAAAGAAAAGTTGGTTTTATTTACACATTGTTCACTTTACTTCCCCCTCTTCTTTTGCAGTAAAAATTTTACAAGAATTTACCCGAAAATTGAATATTATGATTGATGTATACATTACACACAAGTTATATTCCTTTATTATACCATGTAATCAGGGAAAACGATAATATTCCATGTAATACGGTTTTAAGGAGCTCTTCCTTATGAATTTGTACAATAATATTGGATGTTTAGAATTTTTAATGTATTTAACTTTGTCAAATTAGTAATTTCTTTTTAAAGTATCTTTAATACACGATTTAATGAAAATAAATAAAAATTGGACTATTATATTCACCGAATAAAATGAAAGTTGAGCAGTTAAAATATACGGACTATCATGTAATGACATATATCAAACTTATAATTAAGCCAAATGCATTCATTGAAATTAGTAGATGATTCTTCTCACTACTTGTGATTAATTTGTTTTTCGAATAATTGTCTTGCTACTATAAAATAAAAATATATATACAACTCGTTAACACAATAACTAGTTGTATTTATCAAATAAACTACTTTGTTTTTTTGGAAAAGAGGAACACACACTAGTTTTATTTCAAATGGAAAAAGAGAGAGAAAGAAACCGAAAGAATAATAAAAAACAAAGAGTTAGAAATAAGCTTAAATCAAGAGTGCATATCACATACGACCTCAGTTTTCATTGTGTGGCTAGAATAATGAATAATTTGAAGTTTCAACAGCATGATAAGTGGGACCCGCAAAAAATAATGTGATCAGTTCAAAATAATAGGGCATGTCCAAAGAAAAGAATGGGGTGGAAAAAAACACAACCTCCTTAAAAAGGTAAAGCTAAATTGAATGTATAAATCAATAAAAAAAAATCCCTATAATTTTGGTTCAATCCCAATTCTGCCATGAATTTTTTTTATCTAAAAAAACCCCAATTTTACATCCAATCCAAATCTGTCTCGAACTTATTTTATTTAAAAAAACCCAACTTTAGTTCCAAATTTACCCTGACCTTTTTTGTCTAAAACAATCACAAATTTTAACTCTAGTCCAAAATTTGCCTCCATGGGCCTTCTGTCCAAAAATCGCCGTTAATCATCCCTAATTTCCTAATTTTCATATCAACGAATGGTTTTGTTTTGGAGATTATTTTCCAAGTCACCTTGCGGATGTAGATTTGTTACTAACATGGAAATGCTGCGTCAAACAACTACAGGTGATTTTTGGACAAAAGGTTAATAAAGGGAGATTTGAGATTATATTAAAAGTTTAGACAAAAAAAAGTTTGAAGCAAATTTGAGACTATGATTAAAGTTGGTGACTTTTTTTTTTACAAAAAAAAGTTCGTGGTAGATTTGCGACTAAACCTAAAGTTTGAGGATTTCTTTTAGACAAAAAAAATAAGTTCGGAACGGAATTAAGACTAAACCTAAAATTTGGGTTTTTTTAGTTAAAAAAGATTTGAAATAGAATTGAGACCGGACCTAAAGTTGAGTGTCTGTTAGGGAATTCGGCCCTAAATTAAATGACATGATGGAAACACATACTAGTCATTCAGTCAATGGCCTTCAATGTCGCGCGCTAAGCCGAATACAGACCACTAGGCACGTGGCTTGGCGACGAGACTCAACGAGATTTACAACAAAGTCGTGGGTTTGAAACCCCTTCAATGTACGGAACTTGAGACCTATTAAGCATCAACAGGGTAGATTTGCGACTGAATCTAAAGTTTAAGGTTTTCTTTTAGACAAAAAAAAAGTTTGGAACGGAATTAAGACTAAACCTAAAATTTGGGTTTTTTTAGTTAAAAAAAATTTGGGGTAGAATTAGGACTAAACATAAACTTGAGTATTTGTTAGATAATTCGGCCCGAAATTAAACGACATGACGGAAAAACATACTGGTCATTCAGTCAACAGCCTTCAATGTCGCGCGCTAACCCGGATAGAGACCGCTAGGGTTACGAACGACAAAAGCCACGGGTTCGAAACCCCTTCACCATATAGATCTTGAGACCTGTTGAGTAGCAAAAAAAGTTAGGATCGTCCAGATTTAGGGTGCGAATGGTAACCATTCTGCTCTAGAAATCAAATTCTTGCTAGAAATTGATTTCTGGAATTCTTGCCAGAAATTGATTTCTGGAGGAGAAATCTGTTTGGTAAAACATGACTAATTCTGCTCCAGAAATGGATTTCTGGAACAAAAATCTGTTTTGATTTGTTGATTTTTTTTTCACCTAAAAAAATTTAAATTTTACTCAAAGTGGGTGGCCACATGTATTATAAGCCATTCTGTAAAGTTTTGATATTTTTGATTTTTTTTAATTTTTTTTGGGCACCTAAAAAAATTTAAATTTCACTCAAAGTGGGTGGCCACAGGTATTCTAAGCCATTTTGTGAAGTTTTGAATTTTTTATTTTTTTTATTTTTTTGGGCACCTCAAAATATTTAAATTTTACTCAAAGTGGGTGGCTACAGATATTCTAAGCCATTCTGTGAAGTTTTGAAATTTTTTATTTTTTTTTATTTTTTTGGGCACCTCAAAAAATTTAAATTTCACTCAAAGTGGGTGGCCACAGGTATTTTAAGCCATTTTGTGAAGTTTTGAAAATTTTTATTTTATTATTATTTTTTTTTGGGCACCTCAAAAAATTTAAATTTCACTCAAAGTAGGTGGCCACAGGTATTTTAAGCCATTTTGTGAAGTTTTGAAATTTTTGATTTTTTTTGAGCTCCTCAAAAAATTTAAATTTCACTCAAAGTGGGTGGCCACATGTGTTTTAAGCTATTCTGTGAAGTTTTGAAATTTTTGATTTTTTTTTTATTTTTTAAAAAAAAATTCACCAAATTTCATATTTTCCCGAAATCTGACTTTTTTTTATTTTCTGGAAATTTTTATGAATTTTTCTAGAATTTTTCAATTTTTATGCATTTTATGAAAAAAAAATTTGTGAGAAAATAGGGAGAATGCGTTCCGGAATCAAGAAGCTACAAAAAGTAGCTTCTCTTTTTCTTGCCAAAAACTCGTTCCGGAATCAAAAATGCATTCTGGAATCAAGAATACATTCTGAAATCAAGTATTTTTAACAAACGCATTTTTATTCCAGAATGCAAAAATCGCTCCAGAATACATTTCAAAAAATTTTTAACAAACGCCATTCTGTTCCGGAATGCATTTCGGAATAGAATTTTTATTCTGGAATGCATTCCATGCGCACCCTTAGTTGCCCTAGCCTTTAGGATCGCCCAGATTTAGTTGCCCTGGCCTACTGTCAACTCGCGAATTGGGCTATTACCATATGACAAAGTAAAGAACGCATGCATTTACTCTGTTCACCTCACATAATTGCAAAGTCCCAGAGAGCACTCCTTTCCCGCCGAATCATTGATTAGCGTTTCTTCCTTCAATCAGTCAAACTTTATTGACAATGGAGTCTCTCTCTCCCTATCTCTCGTGCTCTTCTCAAAAGAAGAGCCTGAACAGGAGCCCGCATTTCTGCAGCAAAGTGTAGAAAAATACCCTTTAACTCTTCGGATGAACCGGCTTCTAGGGCTTTCCACTTTCCCTCCCTGTGTCTGCCACCAGCATAAAGCCTCCAACCCTTCTCTTGTCTTCTCTTCTCTTCCTCGGTTTACACCCAAAGTTTCGCAAAGCACGCTCTTTGGAATGTCCCACGGTGTGAACCGAGTCTGCTATTTGTTGCTTTTCGTCAAAGGGTTCGGGGGGTTATCCGTCATTTGGTCCCTTCCTTATTCCTTTCCTCTCTCCAGGCCACTAGCAAGTCCAAATCCCCATGGCAATGAGAAGAAAAGGTGAGGTATCCTAAGTGAAGTACAAGCCAAACATCCTAGGAACATTGATGCTCAAATGGGTGTTCTTCGGTCCACGTTTCTCTGCCTGATTGTTATGCAAACCTGCAAGCTTGTTGCCGCCTCTGACGCTGCTGGTGAATGGAGGTCTGCTACGGCAACATACTCCAAAGAGACGGATGGATCTTTAATAACTGGTAATCCCTTTTCTCTTCCTTGCACTAGTTCCTCTGTTTTCAGTCATTTCCTCAACTTTGTTTCCGATGTTGGCAGGAGGGGCTTGTGGTTATGGGGACCTTCACAGGGCCACCTATGGCAAGTACAGTGCCGGCTTAAGTGCGATGCTGTTTAACAGAGGGAGTACCTGCGGGGCTTGCTTTGAGCTCCGGTGCGTCGACCACATCCGGTGGTGCCTCCCCGGCAGTCCGCCGGTGATCCTCACCGCCACCGACTTCTGTCCTCCGAACTACGGACTTTCGGCAGATTACGGCGGGTGGTGCAACTTCCCGCAAGAGCACTTCGAGATGTCGGAGGCGGCCTTCGCCGAGATTGCGGAGCGAAGAGCTGATATGGTGCCTGTTCAGTACAGGAGGTATGATAAAAGCAACCGACACGAATGCAGCTACTTTCTCGGATGTATTTGAAAACTTGATTCCTAATATCTTTCGACTCTGTGTAAACATTAACAGGGTGAGCTGTGTGAGAAGCGGTGGTCTGAGATTCACATTGAGTGGAAACTCTCGCTTCTTTCAAGTCTTGGTAACGAATGTAGGACTAGATGGGGAGGCGATTGCCGTGAAGGTGAAGGGATCGAGAACAGGGTGGATACCGATGGCGAGAAACTGGGGCCAAAATTGGCAATGCAGCGTCGACCTTAGAGGACAGCCTCTCTCTTTCGAGGTGACCACCAGCGACAGAAGAACCCTCACATCTTACAATGTGGCTCCGCCGAGCTGGCAGTTCAGTCAGACATTCGAAGGGAAACAGTTCTAACATGGAAAACCATGAAGAACGGGAAAGACATACTGCCAGCATTTCACGCCAAGCTTCAGGGCAAAGCATTCATATTAGAAGCAGATTTCTATCATGTCTTCTTTGTACCATGAACATAGTAGCAACCACAAGAGGGTAGCAAAGTTGCGTAAGACAGTTGAATAGACCATGAATACAAGGACCCAGTTTTGTCTCATTGTATTGTGTTAATGATCAAAAGGCGGATGCATGCCTTCATTGCCCAGCAATGCATTTACATTGGGCAATTGGAGTAAGCTTGTGTATTTCCATATACCTGCCTAAGGTTATAAGGAGTACGTATTGCTAACTGACGCCATTGGATTTCCCAAGCTCATTTGAACTCACTGCAACCCAAATAATTTTGAGAGCAAAAAGGCCAAAACTTACACATTTAAGCTACAGATTGATGCTTTATGATATTTTGCCCGGAACTAACGATGTACGTGTCAAGTACAAAGGGATTCTGCATTCTTGTAAGTATCAAGCTGTACATGAGAACTTGTTTGAATCGAATTGATGCTATCGTGCAAAAGGAATAATCAATTCGGGGAAACAGGAACTCAAAAGATTCACCACATCAAAAAGTGTAATTCCAATCAAGGAAGACTTTGATTGCCAGATTACAAAGCAACCAGAAGCAAATAATCAAATGTCCAGATGACCAAGTTAAGAAAATGGAAAAGAAAAGGCATAGAGCAAATATCAGTCATTTTTCTACCAAAAATCAAATATGTTGGAATATTATGTTGAGCTGCAATTAAGTTAGAATGTACAACACATGAGGATATGTACCAACTCCACTTCCTTTTTATCTTTTCGCTAAAACACTTCGTTTCAGTTGAAGCTGAAGATGAAGGCACAGCAGACATGCCTTTTGAACTCTTTATATAGTGATATGTATGATCAAGATTGGCATATCATCTCTTCAGTCTCCTGTAAAAACTCCAGAGATCCCCCATAATACTTCTGAGCCTCCTCTCTTAGCTTAGCTGAAGCAACCTGTTCTCCCATTGATTCAAGACCATTTATAAGAATCCTAAACGATGACCTATCTGGTTCACATCCTATTTCTTTCATGAAGTAATAGCAGTCTGTTGCCAATTCAACGAGACTAAAACTCATGAAAGTTCTCAAGACACTATTAAACCCCTCAAGATGAGGCTCGATATTATCTTCTGTTCTCAAATACAGGTAAAGAAGTTTAACATCCTCAAACAATCCATTGCCAGCAAAGACTGAAAACATCTCAGCATACAACATTACTTGAGCCTTATACCAGTACTCCTTACGAATATCTTCAAAAACCTGGAGGAATGAGTCAAAGCATTTAAAAGAAGTTAGCAGAGAGTAATACTTGATCAGTACAAAAATTACAGAGCGGAAAACGAACAATACTCGAGTACCTAAATCACATGTATTAGAGTAGGTATATAAATTATCGCCATATGGCATCCAAGACAATGGGAAAGCACACAAGATAATTTGTCCCGTCCTTTTGAGCAACCACAACAGCAAGATTGTTACGAGAGACAGGGATGACACTCCTCTAGTGTCATTGATCTTATTTAATACCCTGTCCATGTAAAGGTCCTTGTAACCAGGACTGCCTTTTGAAGTTTACACCCAAATGGTCTCAAGCACCCCACCCTCCTTTGACCTATGCACCTATCATAAAGTCACACTTCCTCTCTCCCCACCCAAACTCCAGGCCTGACTGCACAAACAAAAACTGGCCATCGGGATTGCATTGCTGTGCCAGATAAAGTGCGGTTATTGTCTTCTATCTCTAGCACGGAGACAGGTACTTCTAGTTTACCATTCTTTTTTGCTAACCCAAAACTCCCATTTGGCATACAGCAGCAGAAGTCATAACTGAGGATGGAACCTCAAGGGCGTGGCGACCGTGAGAAGAGGCAGTAGATCCCGATGCACCAACTCCACTTTAGATATTCCTAATCTACTTATTTACTCGCTCTCTTAGGACTCAAAAAGCAAAAACAATTGTCAATCTCACATGTTAACTGCATATACTCGGAGTGGCAGTGCAGAAGAGGAAATCATGGATTTATGAGCAGTTGCAAGAATATGCCTCCAACTAATTGGTCAGTCCATTAGAGATGCCACATTCTTCAAAATGAGCTTTCACAGTAGTGTGACAAACAATCACATTAAGACAGGCAAGACGAGATAATTTCATTCTTGAGGAACAATTGTGATACAGTCACAGGTCCAGACACCCCAAGATCCCTGCTTGTTAAAGTACGAACCTGCTACGAGAAAAACTCACCCGGCGGCCTAAGTACTTCAAAACCTCAAAGCAAACCTCTGACATCTTTGGTGACGCATCGCAGTTGCATTTTCCTCCGAAGAGGCCTAGGGTCAATTCAACTACCAAAGAGAAAAACGAACGAATCGAAAGCTACAAGCGAGCAGCAAAACAAAAAACATCCAATGACAACTCATTCACAGGTGCAAGAATCTGCAGCGGCCGCAAGACCCACGACGAGGAAAAGCATAATAGAGCGAACACCTCGAGGGCCAGGTCGCAGCGGCTCTGCCGGAGCAGCTCGCGGAGCACCGCGATCATGTCGCCCTTCAGGAGGCGCCCGAAGGCGGAGCGGCGGGCCAGCTCGAGCGACCGCGGGCCCTTGCCGCCGGCTCGCTTCAGCGCCTGCACGGCTTGGATGGCCTCGATGCTGAGGGTCCGCCCCTTCTGGAGCGGCTTCCGGTTCTTGCTCCGGTCCCTCATCGAAGCCCTCATGGCCTTCGGGAGGAGCGGCGGCGGCGGCCGGGGACGGCGGGTCGACCCGGAGAGGGGAACGGAGGGGAGAGAGCGAAGTGGAGTCGGAATCCGCACGGCGTTCATCGTCGGTCGGACTGAACGTGTGCGAAAGGAGTGAACGGTGAGCTGTTATGTTTTCTTCGATTTGTTAACTGCTGTCTCTCCTAGTCCTTGTTAAAATATTCACCGGGTTAATTCCAAAAAAAAGCACCAACTTTAAGGTGCTGCACGAAAACCATTCCTGCTTGTCTCTAACCTGGTTTTTGTTCAGAATCGTTTGAATGTAAACCCGTTTCAGAACGCAATTTCATTTTTCTATTTCCGGACAAGTTTGCTTTCAAAACTGATTCTGAAACCAGAAATGAGAACCAAAAAAAAGTTGGTTTTTCATTTCTGGAACAAAAGTGAGAACCATTTATAAGGAATTCATTTTCTTCAACACACATATTCATATGGAAGTCACGATCTTCGAGGTGAGAAAAAAAGCAAAAATCAAAATTTCAAAACTTAATGAATGGTTTAGAATCATGGCTACCCACTTTCAATGAAATTTAAATTTTTTTAGGTACTGAAAAAAATAAAAAAAATAAATAAAAATAAAAAATTTCAAAATTTCACAAAATGACTTAGAAAACCTATGGCCACCCACTTTGAGCAAAATTTAATTTTTTTAGTTGCCAAAAAAAATAAAAAATTCTAAAATTTAAAAACTTCACAGAATATCTTAGAATACCTGTGGCCACCCAATTTGAGCGAAATTTTATTTTTTTAGGTGCCAAAAAAAATTTTAAAAAAAGCAAAAAATCAAAAATTTCAAAACTTCACAGAATGGCTTAGAATACTTGTGGCTATCCACTTTGAGTGAAATTTTAATTTTTTTAGGTGCCGAAAAAAATAAAAAAAATAAAAAATTTCAAAACTTTACAGAATAGCTTAAAATACCTGTGGCCACCCGCTTTGAGTGAAATTTAAATTTTTTTATATGCTAAAAAAAATAAAAATAAGCAAAAAAGCAAAAATTTCAAAACTTTACAGAATGGCTTAAAATACCTGTGGCCACCCACTTTGAGCGAAATTTTATTTTTTTAGGTGCCGAAAAAAATAAAAAAGAAAAAAGAAAAAATTTCAAAACTTCACAAAATGGCTTAGAATACCTGTGGCCATCCACTTTAAGCGAAATTTAATTTTTTTTAGGTCCCGAAAAAAATAAAAAAATAAAAAACTTCACATAATTGCTTAGAATACCTGTGGCCACCCACTTTGAGTGAAATTTAATTTTTTTAGGTGTCGAAAAAAAAAATAAAAATAAGCAAAAAAGAAAAATTTTCAAAACTTCACAGAGTGGCTTAAAATACATGTGGCCATCCACTTTGAGTGAAATTTAATTTTCTTTAGGAACCAAAAAAAATAAAAAATAATAAAAAATACCATTTGGGCATCTAAAAAAAATTAAATTTTACTCAAAGTGGGTGGCTAGAGGTATTGTAAGTCATTCTGTGAAGTTTTGAAATTTTTTATTTTTTATGTTTTTTTTCACCTAAAAAAATTTAAATTTCACTCATAGTGGATAGCCACATGTATTCTAAGTCATTCTGTGAAGTTTTGAAATTTTTGATTTTTTGCTTTTTTTTCACCTTCAAAAATTAAAATTTCACTCAAAGTGGGTGGCCATAGGTATTCTAAGCCATTCTGTAAAGTTTTGAAATTTTTGAGTTTTTGAATTTTTTTGGGCACCTTAAAAAATTTAAATTTCACTCAAAGTGGGTGGCCACATGTATTCTAAACTATTCTGTGAAGTTTTGAAATTTTTGATTTTTTGATTTTTTTTAGCACCTAAAAAATTTAAATTTCACTAAAAGTGGGTGCAGTATTCTAAGCAATTCTGTGAAGTTTTGAAATTTTTGATTTCTTGATTTTTTTTGAAAAAATTCAACAAATTTCCTATTTTCCCGAAATCTAAATTTTTTTTATTTTCTCGACATTTTGATGATTTTTTCTGGAATTTTTCAATTTTTTGGGATTTTCTGAATTTTTTTAAAGATTTTTATGAATTTTTCGGATTTTTTATTATTTTTATTCCATTTCTAAAAAAATGGAATTTTGTTCCTGGAAATAGAATTTTCTGTTGTTTATCAAACGGGTTTTTATTTCAGGAAATAGAAAATTTGTGCTGTTATCAAACGGGATTCTGTTCTAGAAATAGAAATTTTTTGTTATTATCAAACGGGTTTTTTTTCTCAGAAACTCATCCAGGAACCAGAAATAGAAAAATCTATTTCTGGTTCAGGAACTCATTCCGGAACAGAATGGTTATCATTCGCTACCAAGTCGAGGGATAATTCTGGCCCAAACTTTTTTTTGTTCCATAAAAAAACACCAACTTTAGGTCGAGAGACAATCTGGCCCGAACTTTTTTTTGTCCCATAAAAAAGCACCAACTTTAGGTCGAGGAACAATTCTGGCCCGAACTTT